CAACGGCTCAAAATTATGATTACGAAATTGAATCGGCCATCAATAATAACTCCTCCGCCCTCTGCCAAAATTTTCGTAATTCTGAGCCACTCTGGAAATATTTGACCATTCCCAGACTTTTGGAACATACTGTATACCTATGTAGGTGGTACAATTAATATACCTATTTAAATCTTTATTTGAAAATATTACCAAACTTTCTAATTTTTTCTCTACAAATAGGTATCATCTCGCAAAAATTTTCTTTTCATAGTGTTGGTAAATTTTGCTTTCAAATTTCTGAAAATCATTCGGATAATCGTTCTTAGCTTGCGAAAATTTAAATTGAATGCTACATCTTTTTCCGTTTTGAATATTTTTCTTGCCAAGTTTTATATCATTCCTTGTCCTTGCCTTTTTGAAAACGAATCACTATATATCTATTCCTTTTACCCATTGAGCTACTCAGAGCTGCTCAATGTCAAAAGCTTGAACGTTCCTTTTAAAAATGCGTTAAGCACTCAAGTCGCTCATAGTGCATCCCCCTTTCCCCTGATGCACCAAATTTGCGGGGGGTGCAAGAAGCCCTTTTAGGTATGAAGGTAATGTTAATATTAAAAAATAATGATAAAATCTGAATTGTATGTTTTGGAGTGACTCCGAGGAGCTCGTTCGGTGCAACTCGATGTATAAAAGAAATACAGTATATTAGGCAATTCAAACCACGTGACATTCAAGATGGCGTGGCGTCCACACATCAGTGATGTGCCTGTAGACGATGTCAACGTAAACAATTGATTGTCTACGCGTAGACAATTCGAATTGTCTACGTGAGCATTGGTCTACACATTGTCTACATGCGGCGTAAACAATAACTTATTTTAAAAAAATCGAAAAAAAATATCAAAAATTACTATACTATCACTATTACTTCGATATTGGCATTCACTGATTATAAAGTATCAGAAAAACCAATAATAAAATAAAAATAATTAAAAAAAAGGAAAGTGTGAGGTTAGAATTAAACGTCATTTATATTATGGCAGATCCAGGGAATTGCGTCGCGCCGCAAAGTATTGCGAAGCTACCCGGAGTAGTGCACGGCCGATAAAACTCTCAACTTCAAGTGACGATATCTTGAAAACTATGCATCGCGGAGTATCGTGTTTTTTTTCAAAAATTTCCATGATGTCTTAGCTTTGTTTCATTCGCTGATGGTATGGCAGAAATCCTTAAACAAAAAAGTTTCTCGCTTACTGGAAAAAATACTGCATAAAAAGTGTAAGTTGAAGTTTTACCTAGTTTTACGAATAAAGCGAGTTTTTCAGAAAAACAAAATTATCTTACTGATTTTCGTTAACATAATCTCTTTAGAATAAAAAAAAAATTAATGAAATTATCTCAATTGGTTTCGGAGATATCGCCAGGTATGTGTGAAAAAGTATGAAAACCGAATTTTGACAAATCTATGACATTTTTCGATATAAAAATTGTTGGAACTAGTAAAAAAAATTGTAATTAGCCAATAATGTAATTCTTGTACATTTTTCTCATCTAAGTAGCAATTAAAATAAAAATAAAATTACAAAGATAGAAACACAACGACAATGTGCTGCAATTGGCAACACGGTCTAGGTTTTCGTACTCAGGCAGGGGTCAAATGGAATCGCGCGACAGAAAGCCTGGATCCATCGGAGGGGCCCGATTTTTAACATGCAATTATCCTTCTAGTTCGTATATTATTCTATGGTTATACGAATTTTGATTGGATGAGACCAAATTCAATATGGCGTGGCGGCCAGCAAGTTAGTTTTGAATATATGTTTTCATGCATATTTCAATTATTTTGCTTCGAGTTTTGTTTGCAGCTTTGATTTTGATTATTCAATAAAATATTTGTAGGTACGTAAACTATTGATTTGGGCAGAAACTAAGATATTTTTTGTGTTTTTTCGTCCATGTGTGGACGCCACGCCATCTTGAATGTCACGTGGTTTGGATTGCCTAATTGAGAAACGGTATTTGGCGTTCCAGCAAATTCACACCAGATTTGGCATTGCCGGTAGAAGGGGAACAGTAGGTTTTGGCATTAGCATTGCCGTCTTTGAACGCACTCCTGCACTGTAAAGTTTGTGGTTTGTTTTGTTTATAAACCGTGCGTTCGTTATTTTGGTCCGAGTTCTCCGAGCTTGACTTTACCGTTCGTTTATTTAAAAAGTGTACTCGGTGCAGCCTCATTCGCGTTCGTTTATTGAAATTTCTGGCACTTTTATTCAGCGTTCAACTGCTCTGTTCGCTCACTGATCACGTGATTACGGCTCCGCTCAGCACGCTCTGCTCTTTGAGCAAAATACCGAACGCAAGGAAAATTGAATTGACAGAAGTAGAGATGTATGCATATTCAAAATGTCAGTGTCATATTTTATGTCAGCTTAAATTTCACTCTACCTAGCTTTCGGTATTTTGCTCAAAGAGCAGAGCGTGCTGAGCGGAGCCCTATTCACGTGACCAGCGAGCGAACAGAGCAGTTGAACGCGGTATCCGAGTGCCCGAGATTTTATTAAATGAACGTGATTGAGCCTGCACCGAGTAAAATTTTTGAATAAACGAATGGTAAATTCAAGCTCGGAGAACTCACATCAAAATACCGAACGCACGGCTAGTCGGGACCCAAGGTTCCTAAAGTTCATAGGTTGCTTGGTAATAGTTGTATTCCTTTCACACCTAGGAGGAGCTCCGGAACAGCTCCGGGGCTTCACGCGCTTATTCCTTTCGAAAAGTGTTTGTTGCACCACGCATCTGTTCCCTGCAAATCGGGGGCTACTAAACACCGGAGCGAGTAGCTCGAGTGTTTCAAACTCTTGAAAGGAATACAACTAATGAGTAACCTGATGACGCGCCAACCTATGGACTTTACAAACCTTAGCAACTTTCCAGCTGTGTGCTTCAAGCACGGTGCAGCCGAGTGTTCTGTGTTTGAAGCGCAAAAGTTAACAGTTCTCGAAGCGCAGTACGGCTGGAACACGGACACACACTTGAAGCATTTGCGCACGCAAAAGCTCGATTGCGTGCTCAAAATGGTCAGCTGGAAAGCGGCTCTTGAGTCGGGACCAGAGAGTTCGGTACGCGTACCATTACGTGACAACCAAAGATGATACACACCTACAGGATTGCTTATCGGCCTCGTTTTTGGTAATCGCTGCCATATTGGTGTGTTACCATTTCCGACGTCATAACTAAGTCGTCGGCTGTTTAAACAGCCTACGTCAAGGCGAGAAATAACATGCCGCCTACGTCACAACTGGTAATTTGGCTTGGGGGGATTTGTTACACAGGCAGAGCTGGGCAGGGCTTGAGTGCTTTGTGCTTGTGAAAGTGCTTGAAGCACTTTGAGGACTTGAAAGCCCTGTGCTTCAAGCCCTTTTATATATTTGTAATTGGGGCTTACAAAGTCAATTACTTTAGAAAAGTGCTTGGTAATTTGTAATTGAAAAAAAAAATAATTCAAGCCCTTTCAATGAGCTTCAATTACTTTTAGAGGGCTTGAAGCACTTTTGGGTGCTTGAAGCACTTTAAAAGGGCTTGAAGCACTTTAAAAGGGCTTGAAGCACTTTAAAAGGGCTTGAAGCACTTTAAAAGGGCTTGAAGCACTTTAAAAGGAATTTGAATTGACCATCATTTAACCTATCCGCCACTTAAACATTTTCGATCGATGTGTTTTGTCGCTTAATCTTTTTTTCTATTATTTGAACTAGAACCGTCCAATGTCTTTTCTCTCTTAACAATGCAGGTTTTAGGTTTGAGCTGAGAATTGAAGTTTTAAAAAATTAATGAACTGATTATTCAAATAAATAATTATATATTGGTACCCTATTTAACTTTATCACTGGATTTTTTTTCAGTTTTCCTCATTAAATATTTTGAAAACCTTAGAACTGAATTACCATGTAGTACCCCAACTACCCCAAGTACCAGAACCTGTTAAAAGATTAAACATAACTTGCTTCAAGTGTAAGCTGAAGCAGCTAATTTTCGATGGATACTTTGGGACTGTACAATGAAAGACTTTCTCTGCAATTTAGAACTAAGATATTCATAAATGCAACAACTTTGTGATACAGTACCTAATTGTACTGGATATTTTCTCTTGTGTGATATTGTATTATGTATAATAATTATGGTATATTGTAATAATTTTATATGTGATATCGAATGACCTGCATAGCTTTCCAGCTCAGGGTCTCTATAGTCTATTTTTTGAGAGCTGGTATAATCAAACTGTCCACCTCATCGCTTATTGCAGGTGGTTCATTCACTCTTTAAAGGATTTAGGGGATTAAAATTGGTTGAGTATGATTGATTATACCAGCTTTCAAAAAAATAGACTATAGTTCAGGTACATTGTTTAACTACCATGTTGAAATAAAGGAAAAAAAAAACTCAGAATAATCTAAAAAAAAAATAGGTACTACTGCTACTCTGTAAAATTTAAAGTTCATTTCTACAGTACCACTTCAACTGATGAGTGTATGCGGTAGCTTATGCCACTTTGAGAATTTTATTACAAATTCAAAGTGTTTCAGGCACATTTAAAGAGCTTCGAGCACATTTAAAGAGCTTCAAGCACATTTAAAGAGCTTCAAGCAAGCACATTTAAAGAGCTTCAAGCACATTTAAAGAACTTCAAGCACATTTAAAGAGCTTCAAAGCACTTTTTAAGGCTCCCCAAGCACTTTTGATGTGCTTCAGGCACTTTTCAAATCACTTTGAGGGCTTTGTGCTTGCCAAGCCCAAAGCCCTTTTGAGGGATTTGTGCTTGTGAAGCACTTTTCAAAATAAAAAGGAATTTGTGCTTGAAATTGAAAGCACTTTGATAAACGGCTTAGGGCTTAGTGCTTCAAACCCTTTTACTGAGGGCTTTGCCCAGCTCTGCACACAGGCCTTATAAGGATAGGCCATCCGGCCATCCTGTAGTAGTAGTGTGTATCATCGTTGCGCGACAACCACCATTCCGAACGCCGAGAACCGTGTGATTTTTATCCACACTCCGCCTTTCCGAACGGCAGCTGTGTGATTTTTATACGACACACCAGTTCTCGAACGCAACCTAGTTATGACCACACTCCACAGTTCGACACGCTTCAAACAATGACAACATTGTAAGTAAGATGCAAATTAAAACAATTGTTAATCGGATCACAATAAAATAATCACTAGTCGCAGTAACATTAATTAACTGTTTTAGTGTCGTTTCATAGTGATTTTAGCTGGCTAGGAACAGAAAGACATTAAATTGAATGAGGTGAGAAGAGCATCGAGCCCTGGTGTGGGAATTTAGCGAGGAATTTATAGTGTTGTGTTGTGTTGTGGTACAGAACGGAGATTAAACCAAAAATCCGAAATTATTGTATTTTGATGGTCTTTTGAATTTTCGAAGAATTTAATGGTGAATTGTTCTATTGTTTATGACAATTTCTCGGACAATTTAAAATAATGTCATCCCCTAGTGCTGGCAAAAGACGTATGGACACGGATGTTATTAAACTGTATCCTTTTTCTTTGTGTATGTTAATAAATTGAGCCCATTACAGTGTCAGCTGATTGTGATAAATGTATGACATGACCTCAATAATTGGCTTGGCTCCCTGGGCTTCCATCTGATTTCCTTTGTTTGGTTGACTGTTGAAGTCCCTAAATTTTTTTCTAATAATATTAGCCTAGAGTACAGCTATTTTTAAATCATCAACTACTTATGTACCTAATTTTAAAAGTGTTGATTGTTTTTATTTTTGTTTTGTTATTTCCTTAACTCAGTTTTACAGCATTGAAAGCAAACATGAGGTGACAATCCTAGGAGGACTCAATGAATTTTGTGTCAAATTTTATGGACCAAGAGGAAGTAAGCTATTAATAAAAGTAACTATTTGATAAAATTTTCTGGTACAGGTATATCCAAAGCTGAAAGGCAGGACTTGATACCCCTTGAAGTATGAATTTTACACGAGAACAAAAAAAACTAAATAATTATCAATCGAATACTTTCCTTCTAAAATTTTTGTGGATCAGATTTACAAGTATTGAGGTTGAGGATATATAAGTAATTTTGTATTGATTTTTATTTAAATAAAGACCTATCCTATGTTGGACACAAGGAAATACATTCTTTTGAGTTATTCAGTCATGAATACATGCCCTTATATTAAGAGGACTGCTTACCATAGTTCAACAGTATTTCATATTCCTATAATTTTTTAAACTATTTTTTTTTATAATAAACTAGCGGTGACGGATACCCGGCATGTGCTACTAGGCTACAAAAATAAGTACATTTTCTTTATTTGTTGAAAAAAGTACATTTTTAAAGACGGGTGTAGTCCTGACAATCTGCTCACGTCTCCATCTGTCACATTTGACAGTTGACATCTGTCAATTTTTTTCAACGTCTTATGGCGTTTCCGATTCTGAACAATGGGTAGGCATATAACGCCCTTATGTCATATTTTTACAGCTGACATCTGTCAAAAATTAGATTTGACAGCTGTTGAGTATTCCAGATTGTATTATCACCTGAACTTAAAGTGTATGCAAAATTTCAGCAGAACCCGTTGCGAAGAAATGGTTCAAAAATCTGCACCTGTCGCATTTGACAGTTGACAGCTGTCATTAGTGGTCTAACATGTATTATCACCCGAACTTAAAGTGCTATGCAAAATTTCAGCAAAATCCGTCGCGAAGAAATGGTTCAAAAATCTGCCCCTGTCACATTTGACAGTTGACACCTGTCAATTGTGGTCTTAAATGTATCATCACCCTAACTTAAAGTGGATGCAAAATTTCAGCAAAATCCGTTGCGAAGAAATGGTTCAAAAATCTGCACCTGTCACAATTTGAAAATTGACACCTGTCATTAGTGGTCTAAAACCTTCTTCACATTATTGCCTTTCATATTAAACTGATTTTGGGCACATCGGCCTCTTAAGAACATAATATCCAGTTTAAAAACAGCGTTTCACTGCAAAATTGTGAAATGGAAACAAAATGTATCCTGACAAAATAGTTTACAAAGAAACAGGAAGTTATATTCTTTTACAAAATAAAATGTAAACCAACTACTTACCTACCTACTCTTTTCAGTATTAGGAACTACGTAGTTACGTCTACAAGTACTTTTGCATTACTTGAAGGGGGTCAAATTATGTTTCTGTTATTTTATTTCTGTGGGAAATTTGTGGGAAAATTGGTATGCTTGAAGTCTTTCATTTTGTGTGGACTATTGGCCATCTGATCAAATAATTCAGTGATAAAATCCAGTTTCTATTTACTAAATATCTCAATTATACTCTAAGGCTGGAATGTCGGTTACCTAATAAATGTTTTGGATAATCTTATGGAGATGTATAGTATTTTTAATCCCAAGTGAAGCACCAAAAAAACATCTAGTCGGCATAGATCAAACAAATATAAGACATGAGCTTCACATATTTTTTATTTCTTTAAATGGTAATAATCAATATCAAACAACACAACTAATAATACCTGGAATAAAACAGCAAAAAATATATAAATTGAGATGACACTGGTTATAGAAGTCCCATAGTCTATTCAGCCAGGCACCTGCGTACTTCCTGGGGAGACGTAAGTAGCGCACCCCAATAATTCAACCAATAGGCGTGTGCCGACCTAAATTATTATTTTGTGCTACTGTAGCGATATTTCCTCCCTGCTTATATTTTGTACAGGGGAACTTACAATAGATTTTATATGAAATTAATAGAAGAGAGCGACGTGATATTGAAATATCCTCGTATAATTTAGTGTTTCAGGTGAGAATAAAAATACTATACCTACTACTCAAATCGCGTCAATGACATTACAAATGTTACACTTAAGATCTTTCAGGCTTTTTTACCAAAGTATTGCCGCATCTTTCCTTGACATAACGCTAGAGAAAAGAGCATGGGCGTCGTTACGAGGTTTCTCAGGGGGGGGCAGCACTATAATAAGATCATTTCCAATAGCAGCATTGGTAACCGCCGGAGGCGAAATTTTTTTTGGTGCCACGTCCCTTTTTTGAACATATTAACGTACTTATTTGATATCGATATATATGTAGTTAAAAATGATGGTATTTTTTTCCGCAACAAATTCACTGTCCCCATCATTTGTTTAAGCTACGTTTACTAAGGGCCAAATTCTGGACTGACTGGTAAACGTCTGGTTGTTACCTAGCAGGTACTTTCTATGCACTAGAGAATAGAAAGTACCTGCTAGGTAACAGCCAGACACTTACCAGTTGGTCCATAATTTGGCCCTAAAGGAAAGTACTTGCCGCCACTAAACTTGTCATGTTTAAGCCACAGGAAAGTGCACTTGCTACTTGCCGGCAAGCGCTTTCCAAAAGTTGATGGACCGGCTAGTTTACTTGCCGCTACGCCAAATTTCTGTTTGTACTTTCCGTGTGTAAACGGGTCACGAAAACAGGCGTCCACGTTTCTGTATAAAACAGGCGTCCACGTTTCTGTATGAATACCTACTACAAGGAAGCAAAACTATCACCAGTCGCAAGATATCGTAATGCGACTTCCAATTTGATTCTAGGAGAAATAAGACTTCTCATCTACGTTTCTGACTTTGTCAGTTTAGGCTCGGTTCAAGTCAAGTCTTGACGGTTCTTGAAATTTTTGGTATGATAATCTCATAAAATTCCTATAAGAATCAGGATCTTCAATTGATATCTCCTTCAAGAGTCGTTTCGACGCACCCAGAAGAGTGGGTACTTCTTACGTCTGTCTCTAACCCAAACTCGTTTTTTCCTATTTTTCTTGCGTTCTAGCACGCACTACCCTACTTGGAGCCATTTTATTTTCTACTGTTTGGCAAATAAACTTGAAAATATGTAAACACAAAACAATGAATAAGTTAAGTGACGGCAAGTACTTTCCAAGTGTAAACGTAGCTTTAGGTAATTATTGTCTTAACGCCAGACTATGAAAAAGGTACCTAACAAATTTTGAAAAAATGGGAAAAAGTAATACGAATACGAACTATCTTTTACTTCTTTCTTGTTCAAAAGACTATTTCTAGGCGGGGCTAGGGGGGGCCCCCCCTTGCCCTCCCCAAACCACGCCCATGGAAAAGAGTCTAGAACTCTCAAGTCAAGAGAGTAAGGTGTCCATTCTATAGGCCAGCGGCCAAGCTCTCCTTATCCGTCTTTCCCCAAATGTCATATCTAGTGATTCCCTTGCTATTAATGAATAATGAGGTGGGGGCATCATCCTGCTGAAAATAGATATCATTCAAGATAACCTCCTGTCTCAACTATGGGAAAAAGAACATATCAGTGTATACGGTTTCTGTTATTGTTGGTTCATCAATAAAAATGGTCTGTATTTTTTCTCAATAGAGATTGCACACCAAACTGTTACTGTTGGGGTATCTCTATTTAATGAGTTCCAGAGAAAATACTTTGGAACTCGTTAAATCTTCGAAAATGTATCTCAACTTAATTGATATCTAACTAGACAGTTACAAAATTGTTTGCCATAGTGATATCAAGTTCCTACAACATGAAGTTGCATGTGTTTGCAAAAATACCAAGATTTCGATTTTGATTTTTTTTCGGCTAAAACTTCAAGTTTTAGGGACGATGTCTATTGGTACATGGAAACCTTAAACATTATCTTTTTTTTTTGGCGTTGTGATATACAGGGTGTTCCATTAGAAATAGTGGAGAATTCCGATGTTGAAAAACGGATTTTTTTTTACTCGCCCTGTATAAGTTTCAAAAAAATTTGTCTGCCTTTTGTCCAATCGTGTCAGTTGATAGTTTACGCGTGTCAAAGGAAATTTGCCCTTCCTTTTTTTTTGACTTGTATTACATGACCTGCGTAAGAAGATACTGGAAAAAACTTTAGACCAAGAGAAATCGATTGGCACAAACCGCAGGTAGCTAGCTCTCCTGGTTTAAAAGTTATAAGCATTTAAAATGGGTCACTCTCGGCTGAGACACCCTGTATTTTCACAGATTTAGTGATTTTCCTGAATTTTTCTTCTTCTTCTTCTTCTTCCTAGCCATTCTCTATCCTCTGGATATAGGCCTCTCTCATATTTTGCCAGGTATTTGTATTCTGTGCGACCTGGTACCAGTTTAGTCCTGCTCTCGGTCCTGCTGTTCGCTTAATGTTGTTGGGGTCTGCCGACACTTCTTGGTTCCCCCCAGGGTCTCCATCTTGTTACTTCTCTGCTTCAGCTGTTCCTTGTGTTTCTCGCTACGTGGCTGGCCCAGTTCCGTTTGAGGGTGCATATTCTATGTGTAATGTCTTGAAGACATTTCCTAAATTAGAAGTACCTACTTAATGCTCAAACCTAATGATTGATTTCTGCAAATGTTTTTTTTCACCCACATGACATGGGTCGTCTTGAAATCATTTTATTAGGCCTAACCTACCATTGCCAAAAATGCCCTATATATGAGAAGATTTGTCAAAATCTGGATTTTTGAATAGGGTAGTGGACAAGGTATAATTTCAATGAAATCGATGATCTATTCTTCATCTATGGAGTAAATAAAAAATATTCGTATCAAAAGAAATTTCAGATAATATTACTAACCTTGTTTAAAACGCCGGTAAAAGTAGAGTTTTGGGACGCACTATTTGAACGGAAATATTTCACGCCCTGATTCTACGTCATAGCTGTTGTATTTAAGTATGAATTAAATAAAACCTACGTCCGATATTCGACACAAATTTACTCTTTAGTGCAAAAAAGAGAGAAATATCAGCGTCTCTCGGGTATTATTCTTCTTCTTCTTCCTTGAATTTTGTGAGCTCGAGTCCTAGACCACCGCCCAATGTGGTTTGACTATGGAAGATGTTCTGGTTAGAACATCTGAGTGATACTCATATCTTCCACAACGTTGTCCATTTTCCTCAATTTTCACACTGGGATTTATAAAGGGGGAAAACAAAAAAAACATAGGTATAAAGACACGCTTCTCGCTCTGTGGCTTTCAGAGCATTGCACAACACTAGCCAGGACAATGAAGGATGTAGCAGTTTTAGGATGACAAATTACTATTAGATACTCTAAGCAACTCATTTATGCAAAACTATCTTTCAAGCAAAGCTAATATTTTTATAACTTTATATTTTCACTAATAAGAAAATCTATTATTTTATTCATTTCTTTAGATAATGGACGATTTAGAATTGATTTAATACTTATGGGTCCCTTTTCATCCTGTATTAGGTCTTTATAGAGAGTCCTTGTTTTATGATCTCTTATAGAACAGTTAAAGAGAATGTGATTTAAATTTCCTTTACTTCCACATTCACAATCTGGATTATCCTTTATCTTCATTTTGAATAGGTGTTCGGGAATTAGACAATGATTAGTTCTCATTCTACATGTCAATGTTATACTTTTTCTGGACACATACTTTATTTTCTGGAACCATGGTACTTTCTGAGGTATAGATTGGATGTCAGAATAATACGCTCTACACACCTGGGACCACTCTTGATATAGTTCAGTCCACCTTTGCCACAAATGCTCTTTAATCAGTAAAGAGAGTCGAGTGCCTTGAATGGTATTTTGCTGACTTATATTTGCCAAACTTCTTCCCTTCAACGCCAGACTGTCAGCAATATCGTTTCCACCTATACCCGTATGTGACGGTATCCACATTAGTTTTATATTGCTATTAGCATTCAAAAGTTCATGTCTTGTACTCAGAGTAATATAGTCACTTTCTCTGCATATTCCCATCCTCGCAATAGCCTGTAGTGCACTCAATGAGTCTGATACTATAGCTAAACCTTTGGTATGTACTCCAATGTTTCTTACTGCTTCCCGAATAGCTAACGTTTCTGCTGTACAAATTGGTGTCTTGTCCCTTAGTCTTCTATATATGTTTGTGTTATTTTCTTTACAATATATCCCTATACCACATGCCAAATTTTGAGGACACACTGAAGCATCCGTAAACGCTATATTAAAGCCATCCAGTTCAGTTTTAGCAATGTAATTAAATTCTTTACTGTTATTACTGTTCTTTGACAAGTTTGTTTTTGTGAACTGAATTCTTTTAGTTTGAATATCATATGGGAAGTTATAACATGGCAATTTTGTATCTTTAAACATTATGTCATGATATTGAAGCATATTATCAAATCCCTCCATTATGGCTGGTGTTGGTTTTCTTCGCCAATAAGGAGGATTCTCATTATAGATTTGATAAAAGTGGAGTAATTGTCGTTTTATCTTATCAGCGTTTAGGGCTATTATTTTAGATGAAAATTTAGCTGCTAACCAAATCCTGCGAAGGTCCAGTGGCATTTCCCCTGTTTCTGACAACAAAGCTCTGATGGGTGTGGATCTCATACATCCTGTAATTATCCTTAAAGCCTGGTATTGAATATTATTTATCTTATTCCAGTTTGCTTTTGATGTTTTAAAAATACACAATATACCATATTCTAGATGGGATAGAACAATTCCTCTATAAATCATCAGTAATACTTTTGGATTTGATCCCCACCAAACTCTAGTAAGCGATCTCATGATGTTTAAGCCCTTTTGAGCTTTATTTATGCTGTTATTTATCTGTGATGTCCATCTAAGGTGACTGTCAAATATTATACTTACCTAAATATTTATACTCCGGAACCCACTCTATTTCTTCATTATTAAGCTTGATTATAGTTTGTAAGTTTCTTATTGGTCCTTTGGAAAAAATCATTGCTTTTGTTTTGCTGATTGAAATGTCAAGCCCATGATGGTTAAGCCACATAGCAATTCTCGTGAATTTGTTTTGTATTTTTCGAATACCCTCTCCTATATTAGATGTTTGTATCAATAAAGTTAAATCATCAGCATATTTCAATAGTTGTACATCCTAATTTTCTGGAAAAAGATCATTTATAGCACACATGTATAAGTTAAATAAAACCGGGCTAAGTGGAGATCGCTGAAGGAGTCCCTTGTTTGTATACCTAGGTCCTATAACTTCTCCGGTATTAGGGGATTTAACATAAACAAGTCTGTTTGTAAGAATATTGTGAATAAATTTAATGATTCTTTTATTAATATTCAATTCATGTAAGTAGTTTATTAAAATTGGGATAACAACATAATCATAAGCTGCCGATATATCCAAAAATACAACAATAACCTTATGTCCACTTGTAAATGCTTTATATATTATTGTTGATAGGTATACTACATTTTCAATAGCTCCTCGACCTTTCCTAAACCCATTTTGTAAACTATCAAACACATTATCAGATTCTACAACATAATCAAGCCTCATCTGAATGATTGATTCCATTAACTTTCCTACACATGATGAAAGTGTGATTGGTCTATAGCTTGAATGATCCGCAGGGTTCTTGCCGTATTTTAAAATAGGGCTAATGACTTGATTTTTCCATTCCTTAGGTATTTGCATTGTGCCCGTAAGAATTTTGTTAAATATGACCACTAATTTCAGCTTGTGCTCATCCGGTAAATTTTTTAACATCTTATTAGTCACATCATCCATTCCTGGAGCCGATTCTCTTTTATTTTTTAGGACAACTTCTAATTCCTCTATTATAATCGGTTCTATTAGATCCAAATCCTGCTCTAGCAACAATTCTTCTTGTTCTGGATTATCTGTTTGTGTCATTTTTAGTAAAAAATTATTCAACCAATTTTCTTTTTCTTGTCTATGTAGCTTTTTCGTGTATGATCCGTCAAATTTCTTGATAGTTTTCCATATAGTTGAGACTGGCGTGCTGCGGTTCAGATTACCACAAAAATCCTGGAATTCCTGTTTTTGTTTCAGCCTCAAGAATCTTTTTGTTTGTGCAGCCACCTTTTGGTATTTAATGAATTTTTCAGTATTAGGATTCTTTTTATAATCTTTGAAGGCTTCTCGTCTAAGTGTAATTGTTTGATTACAACTGTAATCCCACCATGGCGGATGATTAATATATCTAATAGCACTTTTATTAAAAGTTACCAATGGTATATTATTGTCTGCTGCCTCGTTCATTTGTTTTAGCCAGGTGTCATAGGATCCTTGTGGTAGGTCTTGCAATTGCCTCTTGTATTCTTCCCAATTTGCATATTTTGTATTCCTCCTCCCATGTGGTTTACATAAATTTTGCACCTTATCAGTCTGTACTTTACAAACAATTGGTAAATGATCACTATTACTAGGATCTTCATAAACTTCCCATTGGCATTTTAGTGCTATCTGTACTGACACTATTGTAACATCTGGACAGCTATTTCCTTCCCTAGTTATTCTAGTGCAGGTGCCATCATTTAAAATAATCATCATATTTTGCTCATTAATCGCCTCCAACAGATTTTTTCCAGTCTGATTGTTTCTTGTGGCTCCCCATGCTTCATTCTGAGCGTTTAAATCTCCTGATATAATTACATTGCCATCATAAAACCCTAACAAATCTGTAAAGTTTTTAACTGTTGGAATCACATCAGGAGGGCAATATACATTTATGATTTTGTGATCTGCTATTTCCACTGCTTGGATTTGAAAATGTTCATGTATATTATTTATGTTTATATTTAGTTTTTTATAAGGAATACTTTTATTAATGAACATCGCTATACCTCCATGTCCTAGTCCATTGGGTCTATCCTGTCTTTCTTGAGTATAATTTCTTATATCAACCTTTTTTTCAGCTTTCATTCTAATTTCATTTAGTAATACAATATCTGCTTCAGTTTCAGCCATTAAGTTTTTTAAATCAACTTGTTTATGTATTAAGCCATTTATATTCCAAGTAAGGATTGTTAGATTCAATCGTTTTGTTGCCATTCGAAATCATTTTGATCATCCTCCCTGAGGCTTTCTCCGCTCGCTTCTGTCATTTCTACATCCTCTAGTATATCTTGCATTTCTTTTAACATTCTTTGTTGACTTCTTTCTCCTTGACTTTTAAACAGAGTTGTTTGACTTATTATCTGACCAACCCAGTCAGATAAACCTATGCTTAGTTGTACCAAATTCTGATTTTCTTCTATCTCCTTTTCTTGTCTGTTCCGTTCTAAGAAAGAATACATAGGTGTCGGTGAACTGACACTCCTTGCTGATGATGGAAAAATTGCTTCTTTGACTACCTTTTTATCTAGAGGTGGAGATAAATCCTGTTGTGTTTTTCTTTTTGGGGTTCTAACTGTTTGTGAGTAAAGTGGAGTTCTCCTATATGCTGTCCTATTATTCCATTCCCTTCTTTCTTGGACTTCAATAACATTTTCCTTGATAGAATCATGCTTTGGCAATTGAGGAAAATCCTCTTTTTCCTGTACATATCTGTTACTCACTATCATGTTCTGTGTTCTTTTCTGGACATTTATTTGTGGATTTTGGGGTCTATTTTCAGAATTCAATGGACTCCAGGTCCTTGGACACCTAGCTCTAGCTTCATAAAAAGGTATATTTTCTAGTGCCATAATTTCATTAATTTGTTTCTGTCTTTTATATTCTGGACAATTTCTATCTAAAGCTGAATGTGTCTCTTGGCAGTGTATACACTTTGGACTTTCATCACATGTCTCATGTTCTTCAGTACATTTTTGGCATCTTCTCTTACTTCTACATCATTGTTCAAAGTGTCCAAATCTTAAACAGAGTCTGCATTGTAGAACTGGTGGAATGTATATATATGTTTGTGACCAATAATAGTCAATTATAACCTGTTTTGGGAGTTTCTTACCTTCAAAAGTAACTATTAATGAATGCGTTGGACTATATTCAATTTGCCCCTCATCATTCCTTTTCCTGAAATTAATTCGTCGCGCTGAAATAACTTTAACTTCTGATTCTACTGTATTCACAAAATCTTCGACTGATATGTCTACTGGAATTCCCTTAATAACGCCTTTACAGCTAACTAAATTTACTGGTATAGCAGCTTCTAAATTTTCATTAATACAAAAGTTAGATTTAAGAAAATCATTTGCTCCCTTAGCTGTTAAGAATTCAATACCCAATCGATTTGTACCTTTTCTCACAATTTTATGTACTTCTTCAATCTTTGCTCTCTTTAAAGACCTACCAAGTTTTATTGGGTGAATTTTTGATAAACCCTTCTCTATATTTTTTGATTGAATAAGAACTATGAAAGGCCCATTATCATTTACTCGATATCTATTGATTTTTTGTTGCAAATTAGGTTTTTGTATGTCGTTTGTTACTGTATTACTATTGGAGGCAGCATTACTGCTGCCCCCACTATCGGAATCCATATAAGCAACAAGCACTTATTGAGGCAAATTTATCAAAAGCAATACAAAAAAAACAAACTACAAAAGGATGGGTTATGGGTTGAATTTGTGTGAAAATGAATATGTTGTACTCTTACCGGCTGGATTTAAGTTTACTCGTAATTAAATTGCCCTGATTTAACAGATTAATTCAATTATTTCTCACTCCGAAAGGTGCCTGCTTCTTATCGCTAAGATGGCGCCAACGGAACTCCTCTCGGGTATTATTACATTTGGGCGCACCCTCAACATAACCCCACTTTTTGAGAGAATTCTATTTATCAATCAGTGCGTACTGAGTTTATCGGCATCTTTTTCTAACAGCATGTAAAATATAAGGACGCGCTATTGGACATACATAACAGCAATGACGTAATTTCCTGGCGGTAAATTATAGCGTTTAAAATAAGTACAAATTTGTTATTTTATTTTAACGTATATTTTTGTTTTCTAAAATCAAAGAATCATCAACAATTGTTTATTTTGTAATGAAGATTAATAAAAAAAATATTTCAACAAATTGTCCACTACCCTATTCTAGATCTAAATAATCGAACATCGAAACAAATGCACAAACCTAGCTCAATTTAGAAACTGATTCTGAACTGAATCTGAACAAATAACAAGAAAAGTTATTCACTCGGAATGGATGGCGCAACTGTTTAGCTTCGATTTACAGTGGCTAAATGAACCTCTACATACAGTGGAGACAATAGAGGTCCCGCCGCCATCTTGTTCCCAACCTCTTGTTACTTTTAAATATTGATATATAAGATTTAAATGGACATCTATCATAAAAAATTGAAATCGATATATTTGATGACCGTTATTAGGTCTATCAAATACGTTGTTTTCCCTGTTTTATGATGGATGTTCACCTAAATCCCATATATTCATATTTAAAAGGAATAAGAGGTTGGGAACAAGATGGCGGCGTTTTCAATATAAATATATCTATCAAAAACTTCATTTTAATTTGAATCACTATCTAGATTAACGCAGAAATAATTAATGTGGTAAAGGTTTTCATTGAATGCAGCCAGCATCAGAGCTGGGCAGTAGCTAGCTACCAAGTAGGTAAGCTACTAGCTTAGCTACTTTTTTGGTAGCTTATAACTTATTCAAGCTACTTTGAAAAAAAAGTAGCTTGTAGCTGTAGCTTTTGGTAATGTGTTTCAAGTATTCATAAGCTACTGTAAAAAGTAGCTAGCTACTAAAACAAGCTACTTAAGCTATTTTTGGTAGATAGTTAATTAATAGTTATTTAGGTATTAATGGCGGAAAGTGTCATTTACCGCCTGAGGGTGTGGTTAACGATACTCAACGCCCAAAATACTTATTACGTTTTATGCGCAGCGGACTCTTCTAGTTCAAAAATAAAATAACTATACCTATAATATAATGGCATCCATTCGACATTGTTTTCAAAAATAAACAGTTTTCCCCTTATAAAGGCACGTTTCCACCAACCTATCGCCCGCGTTTGAATTTACCGCTCGATAAAAGTAACTTTATACTTTAATTGCTCAAGCTACAATTATCATTTTCCGGAAAAAAACTTATCCTGCCTTGCTTAGATTTTTTTTTTTTTTTTACGGATATGCGCACTCGCAAGGAAATGTCCTATCACGCTCGAGAGTTTCTAGTTATCTCTGTAGGTACCTATGTTTTATGTGTCCTATTTTATTCTCGCATTCGCAGATCACTGTGATCAAAGTGAACCTAATAAATTATTGTCCAGTGGTTTTTGACAAAAATATGAATACTACTTCTTAGAGAAAGTTAATATGTTATTTTCGTATGATGATATTATGAAATTAAATTAGGTAAGGCATGTACTGAAGTAGCTTAAATAGTAGCTTTCACTAATTCAAAATGTAGTTAAGTTACTAATAGCTTAGCTACTTTTTCAAACAGGTAGTTGAGCTACTGAGTAACTTAGCTACTTACAATATAAAGTAGCTTGTAGCTTGTAGCTAGCTACTTTTTCCAAGTAGCTTGCCCAGCTCTGGCCAGCATTATAATGAGAGTAGGCACGGCACAAAAAAGGTAAGGTTTATTCTGAAAATAAGGGCTATAATAAAATTAATAATAATAATGATAATAACAAGTTTAATTATCACCAACATACTACAACCTTAATACTTAACAATAAATGGTAAATAAACAATTTAGGCATAGAAGCAAAGTAAATGTTGCTTGTTAATGCCGTTAAGGCTGTTAATCAAAATGAACTTTTTAATCATTTAGTAATAAGATGGCACTTTTTCCGAGTTTTCTGTATAAAATTGAAGAAAAGTTGTGCTTTTTTTTTCATCTTGAATCGGAAATTCAAAAATTACCCTTTGTGGTTTTTATGAGAATATCGGCTAAACAATTTCCAATATTTCGTGGAGCAAAAGATCAAAATACCTACTGACTAGCCTTGTAGAGCTTTCCACTCGACTTATGCTGGGAAAGAAAAGGAAAAAGGCTAGACAACGCGAATCCTAAGATTTTTCCACAGGATTTCACATAGCATTCTTGTGGCTTCTGCGGAAAATCAAGGGACACTCCTCAATAATAGTTCCTCGAGTAGTTCATAACCAACCAATTAGGTTTCACCCAACTTTTTCTTAACACCGCTTGCTCGCAGCATCATTGTCACAGGACCCAAATTTCGTAACGAGAATTCTGTTATCCCGTAGCCGCTAGCACTCTGCTAATAATTGCACAATTATCACAATAGTCGCGCATGGAATTTTAATTATCGGCACTAACATGTGATACTTTTAGTGAATTTATCCCACTTCTAATGTACGAAAAAAAAAAAAAAAAAAGAGAAGTTCTTCACCAAAAAAATATCTATTTTTCTCAATAAGGTAGGTACATCAGAATAGGAAAAGAAACGCTTATCAGAGCGACCATTTGTTTTCTACTGCGAAGAGAAGTGTCCCCAGTCCCCAAAATATTTTTATAATATTTCGAGAGCCAAACAAAACTACCTGAACCCTAAACCCAAAAATGCGGGTTAATAATTCCTTAACTTGGAACTAAAAAAAAATAGATTGAAGCCATCAGGGCCAATTAATTAGGGAGTTCTGCCAATATCCAGAATCGTCCATCTTACAGGTTGCTGGCAAGGAAATGCTCACATATATAAGTATATCTTAAATTATCAGTCATCTCTCTATTGTGCTGTGTACTGAGTCACGTTTTATATAGATAGAAGAGAACATTAGCGAAAACTGCATTCCTATTTTGAGTGATACTCCAATCGGAGTATAATACAAAATAAGCAAATTTAGCAATAGAGACGCATGGGTTGAGGTCTGCCCATTTGCCTGCCTAGGTCTCCTTATACCATGTCCATCAACTTAGCGAAATGACTTCAAAAAACCAAACCGCCATTATACCAATAATTTGCTGCTAATTAGTTGTGGACTTGAAAAATTTGCTGCTCTTTTCTTTTTCTTTTAATTGCGTTTTTTGCTCTCGTATGTCAAGTTAGCAAGACATCACTAAAAATAACGTTATCAAAAACTTGAATTGAATTATAAAATAATCAGCCCTAATGTAATATCAACATCTTTATATTGACTGGAAACACACACCTGAGATAAGAATCAGAGTTGTCTATACATGGAACAATCTAACCTCAGACACAGTAAATGTTACCGCAGTGTGAATTTATTCAAGAATCATGTCGATAAAGATCTCAGCGAATTCATAATATAATTTATACTTCATCCCCAATAAGTTAGTGGATAGCTAAAACCTAATCTAAAAAATCACACACAAATGTGAACTTAAAGAAATCAATAGTCTGTCGCCTTTTATTGTGAAAATAATAATAATAATACTAATATTTTCAGTTTTTTTGCCGCTCATTACTCAGTTGGGAAAACTCTCAGGGAAACTAGAAATTTTCCTCTTATTTTTTCCGTATTTGAAAAAAATATCATTGTTGATATAAATAGGTACACATTCATTTGAACATGTTTTTTTTCAGCTCCCTATGAAGGAGGTGTATGGAAAGTAAGGGTGCATTTACCAGAGCATTACCCCTTCAAATCGCCTAGTATTGGCTTCATGAATAGGGTATATCATCCAAATATTGATGAAGTTTCTGGTACAGTGTGTTTAGATGTGATTAACCAAGCCTGGACTGCCTTATATGGTAAGTAATTTTATTTTAAATTACAATAGACAAAATGGCAGAGTAAATAAAATAGAAAAGAAATTTTGTGAAAAAAAACAAAATCTCTATAAAATCAAAAATTATTAAATCGAGAACAATCATAAACCTCACATCATCTGCACTGAATCAGGTATGACTGAATTTCTGTTATATTCTGATATTAGCATCTCAATTAGCATGTATAGAATGTGGTCTCGATAAATTTCTGCTGGGGTATAAACATGTATAAACAAGATTTAAATAATATGAGAGAAAGATATAAAAGTTTGAAGAAATAGGGTATGCCTATGTACTTTGTTGGGTTTGGAAATGGAAAAGTTCAAAAATTCAAAGTACAATAGTTCACAATAGTTCACAATACTCTCCCAAGACTCTGCAATACCTCGGTATGGCACAATATATGTACCCATAAAAAAACTTCAGTGAAATCCCCCTTGGATTTGGTGAAACCCCGACGCCATATCCAATGAAGTAAAATATCGCCTTTTGTCCAATCGTTTCAGTTGATAGTTTACGCGTGTCAAAGGAAATTTGCCCTTCCTTTTTTTTTTACTTGTATTACATGACCTGCGTAAGAAGATTCACTTGGCCGAATAATTTTATATTCTATTAAATCAGCAGTTATTGTGCGTTTAAGTAGCTGATTTTTTCATTTTCAGACAACCGATATGTGGAACGAGCAACAACAGATTCTTTTTCTAACTGAATTTTAGGTCTGATTGTCTGATATTATCTACTGCGCCCATTTTAGTGCCACGTGTGACCATGGTACTGAATTCCTGAAAAACGGTCTGAAATTTTATGGGAGCATCGATTTCGCAACTTTCTGAATACTACATGATTTATTCCAGAAATTTGTCTTCGTATTCGTTGTGATCCTTCGTGATCAGTTTTCGTAAATAAACTATAATCTGCAAATAAACTCCGCCCAACAAAAACGCCATAATCAGATGTGACCAAGGTATCAATGCCACTTATTTTAGTATTGCTTGTAAGTTTCTTAGTTGGCGTGATCGTCGCATTTGTAATAGCTTTCTACAAACTGCTGCAAGGAATAACTTTATCTTTAAATAATTCTAGAAAGTTTTCGGATATTAAAGATGAATCTGCGTCAGTGTCAATAAGAGCCCAATATTGATGATCCTGGACGAAAACCTCAGTTGCTCCTGCCAGCTTTTTCGCCTGACAAAAGTTAATGCTGCCACGTTTATCAATAGCGTCTTTTGAGAAACAATTAGCACTGTTGTGACCCCATTTGGCGCAGAAATGTCGAAGTTCTCTTTGTTCCTGTGCAGAAACAGCAGACGTAGGTCGATAAGATTATTTTTTTTGCCTAAAGATTTTTTTTTTTGGTTGATAATTTGAGCCTTTTCACATGACAATTTTTCCTAATATGACCCAATTTACGCTAATATGACCCAATTTACCCACCTGAAAACACTGCTCAGAAATTTTCACAGAAACGCCTAAATGTTTTCCAGGAGTTCTTTTATAAGAATCACCCACTGTTCTTATAACAAAAAATTATAAAAAACAAAACACAAGAGACATGGGAAATTGTTAACTCTCTGGATGGTAAGCACAACCATATTCCTTTATCCAATGACCTGAGGGCTGACCAGTTGGACATCTGTTATTGCAGCGTAACCTCTTAGCTTTCAAAGAACATTTTTAAAACTACGCTACTAGAACGTTTTCTGTGTGTGCGAGGAGATTTAGACAGCCGGTAAAGAGGCTGTTGCTAGCTAAGGCATTATATTACACGTTGGACGAATTTTTCAAGTTTTATTGTATTTGAGTATTATTGTCTGTGTTTTTTTCGAAATTTTATTTTCCTTCAAATTTATATGTTATTTTTCTTTATCTTGTACATAAGACAAGGTCTGTTCGCAGAGAAATCACAAACCAGTCAGAGCGAATTTCATTGGTTGAAACTAGTTTTCTGACTGTTTCTGATTGTTTTCAACCAATGAAGTTCGTTCTGACTGGTTTGTGATTGCTGTGCGAACAGCCCTATTATTTCAAGGATTTGATCATGTTTTGATTCCTCCATTTATTTTGATTTACTACATCTGGATCACCTTAACTCCTTCTATACATAACAATCTTTTTGATTCTTCATTTTTTTTGTCTTTAGTGTTCGGGTATCTACTCATTATAAGTGAAGCTTTGTACACAACAACATTTTTGTTAGATGTGAATAAAGTTATTTTGGACTTTTGACTTTGACTAATAATAAAGTACTACTTAATCCAAGTACAGACCGATAGAGGTTTTACGATAAAATATTCCAAAGTATCGGCTTGAATAAATATTCTGGTTCACATGTCAGTTTATTACACGCACATTCTTGTTCCATTTAATATTGACCATGCTCTCACATAGATTTTTTTTCATATATTTATCTACAAGCGTTTGGGTATGACGTTTTTACATAAGAATTTTTCTAGTATTTGAGTTATGTCATGGAGACCCATAACACAACTATTTTTGGTGATTTGACAAATATCAAAGTTAAACCTGTAAAGGTAAAATGAAGGTAGACAACGACTAATAAACGAAAATTATTATTTTTCGCTTTGTAGATAAAACGTTGTACATCACACGTGCGTTTAAACATGACTACAAAACTCGTGTGATTGAATCGACTCGGTCTACTACGTCGTTGTTCTAATCTTTCACACTCGTTATTGTAATCATGTTCATAAACGCACTTGTAATGTGAATACCTATTTTTTTTATTAATCTTTCAAAAATCTTCTAAATAATGTATAATCTCCCCCATTGGAGTGGAAAAATGAAAGAAATATATAATTAATATTAAGTTAAGTTCAAGAATGTTATTTAAATGAGAAAAGCATATTTATCAGTTATACAGGGTGGAATTTTCAAATGGAATAAAATTAGTATCAGAAAGCCTATTTATTACAATAAAGTGCGTTAATGTCAAAAATAATTACATAACTAGATCACCGAAATGCAAAAGTAAATAATATGTCATATTCCTTTTCTTATGCCCATTCCAACGAGCTATCACAATACATATCTTTACATTTGAAAAAAAAAGTTGAGGGTGGTTTCTACCCTTAAGAGAGGGGTAAATTCCATGAAAAGGCCGAAATAATGTGCCAAACTAAAAATAAAGGGACCCGTTTTTTTTATTTTTCCAGAAAATAAACGGGCTTTCTGATACAAATTTTATTCCATTTGAAAATTCCACCCTGTATATGAATTCAATATAATTAGTTTCTCTATTCATCCTTTGACTTTGGTTTACGAGGCTTTTTCTCTTTGTCTTTGGCAATATCACCTTAATCTGTTAGTTTATCCTACATCAAACTTTCCGGATTCACCCAAGGCCAATAAATAACTTCAATTTGTTTATTTCGGGCTTATCACGTCTATTGTTAAATTTTTGCAATTTCATTGCTACTGATAAGCTGTATTCATTCTATCTTAAAGAGTTTTATCAGGACCATACGAATGCTGTATGTCTTTTCTCAAATATGTAATTTGAACTTCTTCAATAATGGCGTTCAATTTTGAGTGCAGCAAAATGAAGCCACAAAAATACCTTTCATGTCATATCACTATTTATTTAACTGCTGCTGCATGTATAGAAGGAAGGGCTGGAACTTAAGTGGAAGGTAATCCATTTTCTTGTCCAGGCATCTGCGTAGCCAGGATCTCAAAAACTTATGAAGTATCAACACAGGTTGAGCTCTGGGAAGAACTCCAACAGAAAAATGGACACTTAAAGAGATTTAAGCGCATTTGTGGATACTCAATCAACGTCGAAAATCTGAGAAAGACTACCCGACTTGCAATGTGAACTGAAATCATCCAGTGTTATCGACAAATGTGACGCAAAACAACAAACAGTCTTTCATTAGACCACTCAACCCATTTGCTCAACCTGAAAACAGGTTTCAGCGCAGATTCATTGACTTAATGCAACTCCTCAGGTACCCAATTGCATGTTCGAGTCTGTTGGTCACACAAAAACGTCAATCACGACTAGCAACGCGCCAGGGGAAAATTAAATACTATCAACAATAGTTTCGAGAAACAACCAACAGTCTCGCATGGGACTATGACTATAAAGTCAGCGGCGCTTATTGATAATCGGCGAGTACTACAGGGGCAGGTCTTATCAGAAGAGATAATTGACTTGAAGCTCTACTTTAAATACTCAAAGCAGCAAGGGCGCTAACAACATAAAGGATCAAATAATAATTTCACTTAGTTTCCAACTGATTTTTCTTGTCGAGGTCTTAAAATGTTCGCAAAATGATGAACTTTACGAATTTGATAAAAAAAGTTACGCAGGGGGTCACAAAAAAAGTTCCAACGCTATCTAAAGCTATAGGTAATTTATGAAGAAGTCCGCCATTCTGAATTTTTCTCTAATGTGAAAAGTTTCACTTCGCTTCGTTAGTCTGTTCATTTCTCTTTCAAACAACAAAAAGCCTAAACAAAAGAAAATTGGTCAGCAACAAAAAAAGTCTATTTGTGAATGTTTTCTTCACAATTCTTTGTTTTTTTTTATTATCAGCAAATACAGAAGTATTTACTGGAAAGTGATAAAGCTGTCTAGAAATAATTATTACGCTGTGAGGCTGAACTCTACTATGGTTACAAACAGAGAGAATCATGACATAATGTAAAGTCATTGCTCCATTCAGTCTTGCAGAGAGCATTCCAACCCAACTGGTACAGTAGACCCATTGGATTGGGGTACGGTACAGGATATCACTTTTTGAAACTTTCTGCTTCACACCTGTAAATGCTGAATATAGAGTTGTTTACAGTACCTATAGGGACAACGCGTTAGAAAAGTGCCCTGCCATTCTACTTTGTTAAAATTCTGAAAAATAAATGTGCAGTAATTTTTTGAACTCAATTTTTTACTGACTTTGAACATGTTATTTCAGGTTTAATAATCGATTTGTGAAGAAACTAAAATAATAGAGCACTTAAAAATTTCTTTTTGTGTGACCCACGGCTTATTCCCAAAAATAGACCAAATTCATACCGATTCTCAAAGGAATAAACCTCTCTTTCTCGAATAGCAACTTTCTGTCCTTCTTGAAGCGAGCAACTGTAATACCCTTGTTTAAGGTGGAAAAAAACTACCTTGTAATCATAGACAAAATTATAAAAAAATTGCTTAAAATAGAATGATACATTTATTAGAGGTCAAGGATGTTCTGAGTAGTGATGTTAAATTCCCGAAACATTCAAAAGCCGCAAACATTCTCGCAAACTTACCGGGAATATTGGAAACTTACGGGAACTTATGGAAATGATGTTTTTTTTTTTAATTTTTTATAGATAAATCAAACAAATCAGTAGTAAGCCTTATTTATTATTGTAGTGTATACTAATTATATTGTCAAACTTCTAGTTAGGTTAATTAGATCAATTGTTTATTTACACTTAAAATGTATAATGGGAAATCTCTTCCTATGCAGGTGTTGTTTATCCAGAAACTGCTTAGTAAACGCTATTTTTATATAAAAGAACGCTGCAATGCCAGTAGTTAGCTTTTGTTTTCGAGTAATTTGGAAACATATTTTACTGACTATAGACTATAAACCAATTATAGCACCGAGAAAAACACTTACATATCAGCTAAAAATAAAACTAGTAAAAATACTTTTATGGCCGTGTGAGGACAGGATTACATCATCCACATAAATTGAAATGACGTTACCGAGACCTTTTATTTTCAATCATTTCGCATTTTTGTAAAATTCTAGATAGATTCTGGAAATATTCTTGAAAGTTCTCAGAAATATTCTTGAGAATTTTCAATTGAAAATTCTCTTTCGCATTCAGGAGAACGTTTCACTTTTTTATCGGTGAATCTTCTCAGAAATTTCCTAATTTTCGCGAGTATTCGCATGGGAATATTCTCGACTCACATCGCTAGTTCTAAGTGTAGGTCAATGATGTTCTGAATGGATCTCAGTTTAGTTTTAGGTCTTTTATGAGTACCAATGAATTTACATATCTTCCATTTGCTGCAGAGGCCCTACTTTATATAAGATTAAGGGCGGTAGGCAGCCGCGGCAGTGTTTTGTGACCTGGGCTAAAGCCTTTGGTTTTGTGTCGCATGGAATATTGCTGCGAAAGCCTGAATAAGCGAATATGGCGGTTGGAAATGTATGGTCAATCTCATTAAAAATGGGACACCCGATTTTTCCCATTGTAAAACGAGCTCACGTCAGTCTGGTCCCAGTTTCAATGCTCACGATTGTACACTCAAAGAAATAGTAGAGGTTATTTTAACCAAAAAGAATTGATAATTAACAATTCCGCAAATTTTGTTAAATTAAACTATATTTATAGTATTCTTAAACAGAAGCTAATTGTTATCACAATCAATACAAAATTGTTGCAGAACCAAATGGAATTTCACTTCAAAAATAGCTATATTAAACCATTACTTTGTCATGTAACTAATAACTTGTCGAATACTGTCAAATAATACTAAAAAATAGTAGATCTACCAGCATTTTAGTCTACTATTATTTTTGAAGCACTAACAAGTATTAATGTTTAATTAGCAGTTAAAAATGGTCGAGATTGACTATTATTGAAGCATCTAACTAATAAGTTGTTAAAGCAAACAAAAAATAGGGTACTTCAACTACTTTGTGGTTATTTAATCTACTATAAGTTTACTGTACACTATTTTATTGTTGAACAGAACAAGCAAACTTTATGATGAAAGTAATTATTACCACAATATTTTCTATTTTACTATTTTAATATGTTAATTTCACCCATCATTCAGGTTCGCGAACTATTTTCTTTTTGGAAAAACAAATTCAAAGGTAAATTCACGCTCAATTCTTTTTAAACCAAACATATTGTTGGTTTAAATCATTCAAGTTTGATACCTAGATGGAATACATTCAGTGCAGTGAGTTCACAATAAATACTCGTATTTGTTCTGTTCCTGTTCCTGAAATACAGTTTTTTTCTGGTAAGATAAGTAGGTACTTTGCTATAATGGATTTGGACATAGGAATTTATTACGATCTTGAATATACAGATTTACTTAATACGATGCCAGCTAATAATAACCCATTGATAAACTGTGTCGGGTCAACCCTCAATACAAACCTCGCCTGACAAAGAACACGTCTATTATAGCGAAGACTCGGAACTGCGAAATTTACTGGATAGGTGGTATATGGTATAAGATACTATTTTTAACCCATCTAAATTATTTTTTTCAGCCCAATAAATCACAGAAGAAAAGTTGCCTTATCTTCATGAGCTGTTGAAAGACTATACACATTTTTCATTTTGGAAATTACGCATTATGGATCCTTCAAAGGAGCGGACTTCCCAACATTAGGAACTAGAATTGAATTGCAGCAAAAACTTACTGAATGGAAAATAAAAAATGTGAGTGAAAAAATAACATTATGCATTTATCATAGTGCTTATTCATTTTTTTCCAGAAAGTATCTACATGGTCAATTTCACTACCCACCCATATTCGTATGTATAAATTGCCTTATGGACATAACGTGAAATTTGAAAATAAACCATACCTGCCTCTTATACTGTATCCATTATAATTTAATTTCAGACCTATCTATTTAGTATGTTTATATTTTATATTGTTAAGAAATAATTTGTTTTATCTTTAATTATTAAACTGTTTTTTGAAAAAAAAATAAAATATTTTTTATTCTAAACACCTAATCCAATTATTACCAATAATTAGAAATGATTGGATTGAATTGTATATTTGACCCTATTTTAATTAATAAAATATGGTCAAATATACAATTCAATTGGCAACAAAACAAAAAATAGTAACTGAACGATAAATATGTAGGTGGAGAACAAAAACTGTGGTCAATATATTATTTAATAAGGTTGCTGTAAAAGATATTATGGTTGCTCAACTATTAGTGGTTTATGTAAACTAATAAAGTAGTTTAGGGACTATGAAATGTTTAAATCATAAATAAACAAATATATTGTTGAAAATGACAATAAAAATTGTTTACAAACAAGATAGACGCCATTTCATATACTCTTTCTGGTTGATTTTACCAAGAATTTTCTTTGAGTGTATATAAGAGTGGTTGAAATCGTACCTAGTAGGGCTAACCGTGACCTTTTTAATTTTGGTAATTTAGATATGCTTAACTAAAATCGAATTTTTATTTCAGATTTGTCCAATATATTTGAATCATTTTTACCTCAATTATTAACGTATCCCAACCCTATTGACCCACTAAATGGAGATGCTGCAGCTATGTATCTTCACAAACCTGAAGAATACAAGAAAAAAGTTTCAGGTAAGTTTCATATTATACAGTGTGTCCCGCTTAAGGACTGACAACCCTTCTGAAATTTTTATTTTTCAACCGATTCACTTCATTTTTTTTTTGTCTTATATCTACTCGAATTTGGTTCTTATTTGGCTCATAATTTTATTTTTCTGCGGCTGCACTGTATGAAGCTCTCCTATCTAGGAAGCAAAGCTTCGCGAGGGGTCCTTAAAAAAATTTGTTTTGCGGATTTTGACGAAAATCGAAATATGAGTAAAAGGGGTTAAAAAGAGTCGATATTCCGAGTTTCAGTTCTCTCCGACGTACCCGAAAAAAGCCTCCCCATCTTCCTTGATTTTGAATTTTTTTTTCCGAATTTCCAAAAAAAAACCATCGGATAGAGGAGCAAAAAAAACGTTGAAAAGCTCATGGGACCCTGCTTGCTATGACGCATCTTAAGGTCGGGAAAAAATTAAAAAAGGATATTTCGATTTTGTCCAGATAAAAATTTCGGCGACCCGACATGACGTTACTTTTTTGCTTATAGCTCCGCTATTTCTCAACCAATCGTTTCGAGTCATATCTCTTTTGAAAGAGGATGAAGTTACCTACAAAATGTTTTTTAATTGAGATGCCAGGCCGTTTTTGTTTTTGAGATATAAGTTGAAATTTTTTGTAATTTTCTTGAAATTTTCGAGGTCGATTTTAACGAAAACGGTGCCCCGTAGAGGGATACTTCTTATAGGCTTTTTTGTAGTAGGTACTCGACGAGATCTATAAGTTTTGCATTTGAAGTTTTTCTCCCGAGCTTTTCGTTTTCGAGTTAGGACGGTTTGAAAATTACAGGGTGTTCACATTTATAGGCTCAAATTTCAGTAAGTACTACTAGGGATTTTTCTATAAAAAATCTGATAGCAGATTCTTGTTTAGAATGGTCTAAAACCCAAATGTACTAATTTTTGTTTCGATACGATACAGGGTGGTAATAACAAATTTTCACAATTTAATGAATCAAACCGCAAAATTGTTATATTTTGAGACAAGCTTATTACAAGTTTTGGTTAAGGATATTCTAAAACTATGTTGTATCAAATTTTGTTGTTCTCAAAGCCTCAAAATATGACATTTTTCCGGTTTGGTCCATTAAATTTTGAAAATTTGTTGTGATCACCCTGTATTATATTGGAACAAAAATTAGTACATTTGGGTTTTAGACCATTCTAAACAAGAATTTGGTATTAGATTTTTCAAAAAAAAAATCCCTAATAGTACTTGAATTGAAATTGAAATTTGAGCCTATAAATGTGCACACCCTGTACACCAGTACAGCCGCTGAAATAAAATTATGAGTTAAATAAGTAGATATAATACAAGAAAAAATGAATTGAATCGGTTGAAAAATAAAAATTTTAGAATGGTGGTCAGTCCTTAGGCGGGACACACTGTATTAATGATGGTTATTTATTTTTTCTCAAAACAGAATATGTGAGGAAATACGCCACAGAAGAAGCCCTTAGAAGTGGTGAAAATGTCAGTTCAGACAGCGAATCAAGTATGTCAGATTTCTCAGAAAACGAAGCCGAAGATATGGAGTTATAACGGGGGCTGGAGGTGCCGCGCTTTACTTCTAAATCGCTCAATAGGACTTCCTTGGCCGTTGAAATTTCTGAATTTCGTAGAATTGTATATTGTGGTGTGCTTAATTCGCAATTTTAATAAGATTGTTTCGCGAGTTCATCGTTTGTTGCTATCTGATCTGCTTTAGGTTTGTATAGCTGGATTTTCAATGTATTATAAGAGCAAGAAAGAAATTTAACTTTTTTTCTAATAATAAGACAATAAAGGTTATTTTAGAGGAGCATTCTTTATATGACAGCAACTATTATATATATCTAATAGTTTTGACTAAAAATTGATCTACAGAGTATTTACCTTTCACTGATAGAATGTGGGTTGGGTTAGCATCTTTATGAAAGCTTTCAATTAAAATTAAGTCCCTGTAAAAAATTCGATAGCTGCATGTAATAATTATTAAAACAGAAAACATTGTATTTTTAATTGTGTCATAATTTATTTGGATTGGTTATTAGGTACTATTAAAATATACCTATAGAGAATGCATGAAATTCGGAAAAACAATAGTTATACCCAGTTATACAAAGGCAGATCGCGGACTAAAAATGTCAAACACATTAGTGAAAGTTTTTTTTAGGTTCTGGTCTTCCCATGCCTAATTTGGTTTTGTATATTTGTTTGTATAGATTTTTTTTAAATACTTATCATGGTGAATAAACTATGACATTGGTAGTAATAAAGATAAACAAAGCAATTTATGTTAATGCCCAAATATGTATTTTAACATTTTTTATTATTTTATATCACTATAGTCTATTTTTTTAAAAGCTGGTATATTCAAACTGTTACCTTATCGTTTATTGCAGGTGATTCATTAATATTTCTTATCAACCGTAAATTAGTTTCTGTCTTGAGCATAGCGTTATGGAGAAGTGTCTTGGAGAACAAACAAGTAAACAAAGATTTTTTTGAAGTGTAAATTAACTTCTTATTATTTAGAGTCGGTCGTTTAATGCGGTAAACGTTTAACGCTTTGAGAGAGGGGGAATGTAGATAATGATAAGATAGAGCGTGAGAGAACGGTACCACGCTAGCATGGGTTTTAAGTCAAGATAGAGAATCTATAAATGGAAGAGAAAGAAATACACAACGTGTTGTTCATGAAAAGTATAGAGGAAGGACAGATGACCTTAAGCCCTGCATCTTCTATTCTCTTTGATACACTGAGGGCCGATACTTTTGCTCTCGATTAATGAATTTGATACGTTGTCAAAGTTTTGCATGGGCCAAGGTCTATAAGTATGATGTCGTTAGAGCACATTCTAACCCCTGATTATTTTTAACGGCTGTCAAGTGAGAGCAAAAGTACCGGCACTGAATGACGCAGCACTATGCTATTACCGTTTATAAAAATATTAGTACCTACTATGACTGTTTTTTCATTCAACCTATTGTCCACTAACGTCTTCTCTTCTACGCACAGACATAATAGCATAATCATCTATTCAGAAGTGTGGGTAGTGCGTAGCAGACCAAAAGTTTGAAAAATATATCAGTGTCAAGGATGTCAATTTATAGGGTTACTGTACTTCAATGGCATATCTCAAAATGGATCCTATAGAATGCTTTAATGTAATCTTTTAACGAGTACACATATTTATTTAAGTTAAGCCAAAGAAATTAATTTTATTTGGACTGATACAGTGTCGTGAAAAATAGAGTACATAATATTTTAGGCAGTGATAATAATAGTAAAAAACTGGGCTTCTTTTAAGTACATACAGGTGATAAATAAAATAGGTATATGTTTGATATGACGCTTGTCAAAATGATAGCTATCATAATACCATTACCTGAAGAAATGTTTAATCCTTGATTTTTGTGTTCGAATAAATTAATAAAAATATTCCTCCGCATGTAAAACTTTTTCCTTCCTGTCTATTAATGACACTGCCTAAACGCATTACTAGAAATCCAAATTTTCTGTGACACAAAAAAAAATATATTTATTTTAAACTTATGTTTTATGCATAATATATTTAGAAATTAATTACCTAAATTTTAATTTGCATTGGGTGGTTCAAGAATCACGTTGATAATCAGTAGTTATTTTAATGTTATTAATTTATAGGTTTTTTACCATTTACTTTTTTCTAAGTCTAATTATACTCTTCAATATTTCAAGTACTAGAGACTTTTTGCAGTTTTTGGATCAGTTATGGTTACCTTTATCGGGGATAAGGATTGCCACGACTTTCAAAAACAGAGAATTGGCAACGCCATACGTTTAGATTTTTCTGGTATTCTACGGGATCTTTCACTAATTTTTGGAATTGGCATTATCGGATAAAGCAATTAAAAATAGAATTTTCTGCACCTTTGCTTTCAAAAAACTGAGTCTTTTTTGAGGAAATAAATAAAAAAAAAAACTCTCTAAATAACAATTTGCAATTTTACAGTGTTGCCACTTATTGTCAGCATTAAATTTTTTTAAGTTTTAATATTTTTCAAAAGTTTGGCAAATACCAAGAAACAGGTAAATTAATTAGGGATTCAAAATTTTATAACATTTTTTATTTTTGAACTATTATACACTATTTAAATGTATTTTTTGTATACAATTAAATTTTTTTTTACAACTGTAACGGCGCAATCAAACCTTTATTTACTAGCTGCAACGGGAACAGCTGTCTGCGCCTTGGCACTGGATCACTCTTCTTAAATTTGATTGATATAGTCTAAACAAAATCGTCTGGCGCATTTTAATGAAATGAAATTTTTCCAGTATTGAAGTGTAGAAAGCTCAACACAAACAACACCACAACAATACGAACAAAATTAACAAATGGCGGCAAACATATTTTAAATGCCGTTGCTACACCTAGAAGCAATGGCTAATGTGAACGCTAACTCATTCCTATATGTTCAGTATTTATATTTATAACAGGTGACCATGAGATTACTTATTAAGCTCTATCTTAGGCATGGAAATCAAGATCGATTTAAATTTTGTAAATGTATAATAATATCGATGCAGAATTCCATCTTAAAAAAATTGCTTCCGGTGCGACCTGAAGTGCCATCAACTTCTTTATTTCAAACGGCTCGACCCCTATGTTAAATATTTAGATTCTAGGAAAAATGCTAAGCATATTTTATATATAAAGTCCTATATCTAACATTAACAGTTTTCTGGAAAATCTCCAATTAAAAATCTCAACAAACCAAACTTTTTACCCTTGTATTGACATTAGACACCAAATATAATGTACCTTTATAAAAACTATTCAAAATTGTTCGTAGAACACGAATTTTCAGTTATAGTACCATTAAAATTATGGCAGGAATATAACCTCAGAAGTTGATCGACCGAAACCCTTCGATTGAATCGGAAGTGAAATTTTTGTGTGTAGGACTCTTTAGTATACTTCTAGAAGTTAAAAATATCGTTTTAGTTTGAAGTCCGTTGTAGTTCATTACTACAACGAACATATTTTTGCTATTGCGCTTGCTCAGAATAACGATAACCACAGCGGAATCGCAAAATAAGAGGTGCAAAAAGTCTCTATTCTTATTATAACTAATCTTTAAACTTATACTTAGGTGTGTTTTCGCTGAGATGTCATATATATTTAGTTATGTTTTTTAAAATATTCCCAGTCACTTTTTTCGATATTTGGGAAAGAAATGCTTTTCTCGAGTCGCATGTAAATTTGTACAATAATTCATTGGCCTGGTAAAATGTAGCTTATAGGCTTTCTTGAGGCTGTAGGAAGTAGATCAAATTGTTGAATGCATAAGAAAAAAAAATGGACGCAATATCTGTAAAAAAATACTTTATTTTGAAAAATTCCTCAAATTTAGTAGTACTCAGTACTCTGTTCACTGTGGACTAAATGCGAAATAAAATTATGGTGGTTTACATCATCGATTTATTCTCATTAGCGAAGGTTAGATCCAATATGTGATATGTTGACCTTTATAATAACAAAATAAACATTGATATTCATTAGAAAATAGTAGGTAACAAATAAACTTTTGTTTGTTTTTGGGATTTTCAGTTTTCTGCATATTAGATTTTCTCTCCCTGAATAAATAGCAGCGTGCTGCTTAACCAAGATGTAACATAATGATGTAATTTTAATTTAAGAGTTTGGAATATTAAGATAAAAAAGATACTTCTCCTCTTTATAGAAAACACATATACCTATAGATTAGATTATTTGAATAAAAATTGTTTTAATACACAAGCGAGGTATACCATTTTTCCACAAAAGCACTAAGAAAAGACCGGTTCGAGTAACAATTCCTTGTCCTTTTCCTCAACTTCATATACTCTTTCCATGGGTGATAAAACACTCTGTTGCAAATATGCGCGTTCGTACATTTTCCCTTTCTCTGAATTTTTCTTAGCCTTAAAAGAGTGGCTTTGAAGATCGGTAATTTTTATCTTTCTAGCAGCTGGACACAGCTAGAATTATGCAATACGTGTGTTTGTGCTTTTTACGACAATGAAGAGATGATCGGGCCCTCTTTCATCGGACACTTCCCTCGCTACATCCAGGGTTCGACCTCATTAGTTCTTGACAGTGCAACACAAGGGAGCATACGAAATCAGAAAATGAAGATCATTCTCTCGAAGGCCAATTGTATTTAGCAGTTCAAAAAGTGACAAATCTAATCAGAATATTTCCCATATGGAAACTTCATTGTACAGGCGTTGAGTTTACAATGCAATGCATTTACCTGATACTATGAAGATATATTGTATTGCTTATATAGACACAGCTAGAATATGAAATAGTGTGCTTGTGCTTAAGTAATTGCTATTTGGGCTCACACCTTTGATGGCACTGTGGCTGTTGTTATATTAACCCGGCATTACACGCGTCAAAAAACTGAGTCATTACACGCGTACGGTCGAATCGATCGCATGCCCAACAGTGTCGGACTGGGGATCATTTGGCCCACCGGGCAAATGGTGAAGTGGCCCACCCAACCCAAACCTCATGCAATAAAAACAATTCTGATAATCATTTTTTCTAGGACCGTGCGATTTTGCCCACTTTCCCGCATTCACTTTAGTTCAGAAAGTATCACTGTGTGGAAAGTTTTTTCCCGCACTCAGTGCGGGAAAGTAACTTTTGAAAGAAAAATTTGTATAACAAAATTCTGACAATTGACAGAAAATTTCCACCTTCAAGCAGTCATTCGCAAATGGTACCAGATCTGAGATCAGAACCCTCGTCTCCGGTCACTTCACCTATATTCGACTTGGCAATGGCGTCGAACACTCATTTCAGCAGTAGTAATATTACCAGTTTGTTGAAATCTTTGCCCAAATTCCGCTCCGCGTCGTTCGGGTCAACGGCAGTCAAGGAAAAGTATAACTTTCTGCACTTGTTAGGATAATAACTATGTTGACTCTGGTACCTAGTTGTATTATAGGCATTAAAAAAAATAGGAACCTAGAACCTAGGTATACTCTATCGTTTCTCAAATGAGACAAGGCAAAAATTGGGGTCTTCACAAATTATCGTATTGCACCTTAAAATTATTATACTATTATTAGGCAAAATATATTGAGCGTGCCCGTATACAATGGATGCGAAGCCACGTGCAAACAATGCATCTCATTGGTTGTTTTAGAATTTTTATTACAGTCCACGTTGACTCCTGGAGTGCGTTCAAAGACGGCAATGCTAATGCCAAAACCTACTTTTCCCCTTCTACCGGCGATGCCAAATCTGGTGTGAATTTGCTGGAACGCCAAATACCGTTTCTCAATTAGGCAATCCAAACCACGTAACATTCAAGATGGCGTGGCGTCCACACATGGACGAAAAAACACAAAAAATATCTAGTTTCTGCCCAACTCAATAGTTTACGTACCTACACATATTTTATTGAATAATCAAAGTGCAAAACTCGAAGCAAAATATTGAAATATGCATGAAAACACATATTCAAAACTAACTTGCTGGCCGCCACGCCATATTGAATTTGGTCTCATCCAATCAAAATTCGTATAACCATTTCTAGACTCAGTTAAAAGCACCTCCAAAAGTTACTTTACCGCGGCCGATTCTGAACGTGTAAAGCCTACCGTTTTTGGCACGCTGGAGCCGAACTTGAACGCAATATGCCAATTTTGGCTTGGCTTTAGCCGTTTTTGAACGCAGCCCAGGAATTCTTATTGGTTAGATTTTTTAGCTGTGCTCTGGCGGCGTCTTTGGCGGCATATTTCTTTGAAGCGGCTGCCGCTTGCGAATCAGTTTCGTCTGGAAAGACAGTGCAGTAGACATTTTTTATAAATTTGATTCCTATTTGATGCTTATGTTTTATTTTATATAAAACTATTTTAATACATTCTCTTACTCCTCCCGTGCTTCATAAAGAAAACGCCGACGGCCAAAGGAATTTTATTTTTTTTACTGTCTCATTTGACTATCGTTAGACTATACTTAAGGTTTAATCCACCTACCTTCGTGCTGTTGTTATTTTTACCGATAATAATAATAATATAACGTTTATTAAACAAAATAGTTACAAATAGCTAGATATATGAACAAATTAGATTAAACGTGAAAAAATGTATCACTGAAGCACACTTGTGCTTGTGTGTGATAGTATGTAGTTTGTAGTTGTATATAATTTACCATAAAAATTAAGAGTGTAACATAAAAAACAACAGGATATATGTTATCTCAGAATTGGGCTTAGAGGCTGAATGTCAATGCAATAGTCTTTATGAATCCCTTTCTGATTTTCTGGTATTGAAGGCAGTGCAGATTGCTGGCTATTGCTTGATGCTGCTTTGAGCAGTGGGTCATTTCTTGCAATCGAGGATAGTTCTTCTGTTTCTAGAATCTCTGTAGAAGTAGGACATGCAGAAGCATCCTCGAAACTTCCCTCGGTTGACGGATTAGTATTTGTTTTAATATTTAGAAAAAAATAAGTCAGTTGTTGGATGGATGCTGCAGCTCCTAATAATTGTCGTTTTCTCGTGATCGCTTTTTTTTTCTGTACCCGTTTTATATAACTTCCTCTTTTTTACCTTTTCGTTCTCAGATATTTAGAGTGTATAAAAATAAAAAAATAGTAATAGCGTGGGAGGCGGATGTCGAGATTTTTAAATGATATTGTTATTATTTTGAAAGAGTTACTTTGTGAAGATCTCGTATTTTTTTTCAAATATTCGAATGGCCCACCTGTCGAAGACGTCACCTGGCCCACCGGGATTTTGCCCGGTTGCCCGGTGGGCCAGTCCGACACTGATGCCCAAATGTTTATATGAATAAAATTTTCATATAAATATATATATGAAAAGCACTATAACTCCTAGAACTCATAATAATATCAAAAGGAATTATATTATGCAGTACAGTTACCGTATTATCGACAGCCAAAAGTACTCCCAATGTCAGAAAATGCCAATTTTGAACAGAAATATTTGAAATACTCAGGTTCACGCGCCTGGTCAAAAGCACCTACTATGAAAACAACGAACTATATTTCAGCTACTATAGCATTTGCACTTGCATCCGTGCGTAAGATAAAAGGCTTATCGTGATTGGCCTGTTTGAGAACTGGTGGAATGGTTAAAGCTATTTCAAGACTATCATAAGCGTCTTGTTGCTTCTGTGACCAGGTAATGTTCTTTCTAGTTGACTGGCTGAGGGGACGAGCAATCAGGAATGAAACATCACCATCTACAAGTTTGCAGGAAGAATTGCAAATTTTTAAGATTCTTAGGAGCAGGTAGGTTCTTTATGCCGATAGTATTATGAGGTCGTCCAGATCATGTACAGTAGTCTTAAATCTATCTATTAGTCTCTGGAAGGTGACCAGCGCATTTCGTAAACCAAATGGCATTCTATTGAAACGGAATATACCAAATTGCGTAATTAATCCAGTTTTGTCGCCGTCTGGCGGATATACTGGGGTCTGATGGTAGCCTGCTCACAAGTCCATCGTGCTAATGTAGCTGGTTTCACCTATAGAATGAAGCAGGCAATGGGTAGTTATCAGCGTTTGTCACCGCGTTTAGCCGACGGTAATCCATCACAATCTAAATTTCCTGCTGGCTTAGGGATTAATATCAAGGGAGCAGCCCACGCAGTCTCTGCTTCCTCAACAATATCATCCTTGATAAGCTTATTGATTTCCTCTTCTCACGCTTCTGAGGGGTAAGACGGTATGGTGGATGCGAAATGGGGGCGAATGGGCTCTTGTCGTGATGTGATGTTCGGAAAATTGGGTTGGTGGACTCTTTTCGGCAAAATGATCTTGATTATGGTTGAGGAAACTTTCCAGTTGTTCTTTTTGTTGTAAGGTCAAGCGACGGTACCGTGGAACCAGGGACCGGATTAATGGGAGCGATATTTCAGCTCGAAAATCGCACGACGTGAGGAAAGAGACTGCTAGAACCAAGATCCCAGAGTTCATGTACTTGTTGCTCGGTATCTCTCAACATTCAGCTTCATTCCACAGGTGAAACCAGCTACATTAGCACGATGGACTTGTGAGCAGGCTACCATCAGACCGCGGCAAAACTGGAATAATTACGCCATTTGGTATATTATTCCGTTTCAATAGAATGCCATTTGGTTTACGAAACGCGCTGGTCACCTTCCAGAGACTAATAGATAGATTTAAGACTGCTGTAGGTACATGATCTGGACGAACTCAAAATACTATCGCCTACATTTAAACAACATTACCAGGACCTGCAGAATGTATTTACTCAAATGGACTTTTGGTCTTCGCATGAACCGAGAGAAGTGTCCTCTGTTCTGAGGTGAAATATATTGGACTGTATCATATCACAGGGATTACAAACTGATCCGGACAAAGTTGCAGCCATAAAGAACCTATACCTGCTCCTAAGAATCTTGAGAATATAGTTATCCATGTCAATGCTAACTGGTTCCAGATCGATTTCTGGAGGTGTATACCAGGGAATTGAAGCAGTTGGCCTTGTTGCTGGACTCGACGATGATAAGGGGCTAAGAATGGCACGAGTCTTCATTCCAGTTGTAATGGTTGTGATCTCTGGACTAGTTGGTGTGGACACTTTTGACAACTCATACCCGTGGATGAATTGATATACCTACCTAATTGTTGTTCTTCATGAAAGTTCCAATTATTACGGTTGAGATTGACATTGAACTAAACAAACACACTGAAAAGGGCGCAGTGCTTTATGTTCGTGAGGAAAATTTTGATCTATGCAACCCTGCAATACGGAGGGATTTTTGTCTCGCTTGCACTCATTGCGATTAATGTAAAAGAAGAGCTTCTTCTTCTTCTTCCTAACCTCAATAATCCAAATACTTCCAACCGCTGTTCTCAATCATTAGCCGCCATAGTGCAGAAAGTGATGCAAATCCCTCTTGTTTGTTGTCCTTCCTGGCACAAACCCTTGCGTAGAAACAATTATGCAGCCGCAGTTCCAGTGTGTTTGTTTAGTTGATTGGAGATTGATAACCACCTTAGCTTTACGTATGAAGTCAACTCCTAAAGATGGCTCGAGCATGAGGGTTATGCTTCAATACCACAAATCCGGTATCTATGTTCTTTTCTTGAATTTGAACTGAGTCCAAACACAATAGATGACTTCTTCTTCTAATTTAGTATGAATGGCGTGACGTTCAGGAGGTTATCCGCTAAGAGCGAATAGCCGAACCTCGCGGTTGTGCCGCCAGCTTCTGCAATACGGACACTTGCTTCCTATAAAACCGGGTCGCCGACAACCGCAGCAGCGTATTATGTTATTATTTGGATCGTTTTCTTTACTGGAATTAGTCGTTGGCGGAACAGATTTGGCTTTGGGAGCATTTTCTTCTTGAAGTTTCTTCTACGATGTTCGATTATCGTATGACCGAAATTTTGACAAAATTGAACTTAGAGCTGTCTTATTCGGGCGCGAAATTTTAAAGGGGTTTCTAAACACATTTCAACAAATTTGACAGCAATGTATTTCTTATAGGGGATTCAAAGGAAGAGTAATTTTCAGACGAGAATATCTCGAGTTCTGGGCATTTTTTAGTCATTCTCTACAATTCATGCTCTAATTGCTTTTTTAGACCTACGAGTTAAAAATACAAATGATTATAATTAAAAGTGTCTGTTTTCGTTTTCCGTGGACGTACGTCGGGTATTAGTTTCCAGCTGTAAGAAATTGAGGTTTATGTGCTGTATTATGATTATGATTGTCGGTGAGCTGTTTATTTATTTATATTTATCACTAGTTTGGTCATTGTTTATCGATTTTTTTTAGATTATTGAAGTAACATCTACCAACCAAACGCCTTTCCTATATTGGTAGTATTTTTATTTAGACAATGCTTATTCAATTTTCAAACACTGTCTCAGTCAATTTTCAAAAAAACTATGTATTCAACTTACTTCCCTAACAAACTTTCTATCACATCTACAGACGCTCTTAAAGTTGAGTCCGCATAGGACGTCAGTGCAATAATTTTTGTACTAGGAACCCGCGCCAATAGGGCAATCCAAACAAAATGGCGGTCAATGCATGGTCAATGCCAAAAAATTGGCGCCATAAATTTAATTCAAACAACCGTGACATTTTTCATCAAAAAACTGTTTTTTGTGTATTTTGCGGTGTTTTTACATGATTTTCTAGTGTTTGGGAAGATAATTTTCGTATTTTAATATAGAAAGTTTTAAGTTTAAGAAATTATTAGTGGAAAACCCGGATGTTTGCAAGTTATGATTTCTGAGTGACAAACCTTTACCTGCTGAACAATTAGGTAGGTACTATCCAGGATTTATTTCCTATTTAGTTTTTTCTTAACCAAATCCTGAATCCTGATGTTTATTTTATTTGTCTGCTATTCAAGGTATCGACACAAGCTGATGTGGAGGATAGTAAATGACTTGGATCCATACACCATTTATGTAGAGAGTCTTTTTGGTTTTTTAATATGGATTTCGTAAGATTTTTTCTCTTTTGCTACAATCCATGAAGCCCTCACAAAGTACAGACAAATCATTTTCCTCCGTTAAAAACCTGTGTTTTGTCTCTGCAGGAACGGCATGAAACTAGACTTTCTCGCGATTAGAACGGCTCCCACAACTATAAGTACAATACATAACGTATGCATTTTCCAAAAAATCAACACTTTACAGACTTTATACAAATCAAAAATCGCAATAAAACGACATTTTTTTTAAATAAAAAGGCATTGGCCTCCATTTTGAATTCCATTTTGACAGGTCGTTGGATTGCCTTATTTGAGATTCTAACCTAACTAATATGGTAAATTCTATTGGTCAGCGGATAACTGGCCGACCAATGAGATTACAGATTGCCTTTAAATCCGTCAGATTGCATACCTGACGGTCTGACAGTTTTTCAGAAGATGAAGAAACCGGTCTTAAGTCTAACATATCGCATAGCAGGACGGACAGCGTAGTCTTATATTGGACAGTAAGTCAATTAGTTCTCTAGTAATATACTTAGTTTTGCTAGTTGGTCTTGGATCAAATTTATTGGAGTTTAGAAAAATAGTCTCACTTATCTACGATTCCGTTCACGTAACAATACATAATATTTTCATACCTAATATCTTCACAATAAAGTATAGTATTCATATGCTTGAAAATATTGATACAAAAATTAAAAGCGTTAAAAGCATGGAGACTGTTAATATGAAGTTTCAGTACAAGAAAAAAGTAAATACCACAATTTTATGTATTTATGTATAATACAAACAAAAATTACATTCACAATACATAATAGCACAATAATAGTTCCATTAAAACCTTGTGATTGGAGAATAACGATGGCGATACATTTTTGGAGAATCTTCAAGCTGATTAATGTTAACTGAACTCTTTATACCATATGCAAAATCTTTTCTATAGTTACCACGTTCATAGTTTAAACCTGAAATGATAATAATTATAATATTTTATAAAATTTTGACATTGACACTACGCTTATTGCTCACCTTTTGCATTGGGCATATTACAGGTAACTTCTGGATGAACTGTAGTAGGCCTATAAGATTTAATATCACCATTTAGTTTTCCCATTCCTCGATATTCTTTATAATCTCTTTGTATTTGCCTGTACTCAGATAACTCTTGAGTTACATGAGTAATCTTCTGAACTTCTATTGAAGAACCATTTTTATGCATTTCATGATATTTTGGTGTTGGAGCTGGCGAGGACGCAGAAGAAGATATGGCACCTTCTGGCTCTTGCCTTTCCTGTAAAAAAAAAACTATGAAATTTACTTTAATTAAATATTCAGTGTCGATTTTACCTCAAGTTTTACGTCATTTAATTCAAATGGTAAACTTGTCCATTGATTTTCATCCATGGCATATAAACGGAGTTGATGGCGAATATTCGCTTTTTCCCTAAATTTATAAAAATTGGTAAAACAATATAAAACAAAAGAACTTGACTTCCAGTTCTATTTCATTGAAACTTTAGGCTCGAACGTTTCCTGAAAAGGATTTGAAAACTTCGAGCCAAATACTACTGTTTTACTCAAATTGAAGTCGACACAAATAGCATTTTATTAAAATATTATTATAGGTCAAAATGAATATCAAACAGACTCTCAGATAACAAATACCTGAGAGCATCCACTAATAAATTCCCAAGATCAAAAACATTCTGGAAAAATATATTGATGTGTAGGTGTACCTAGTTCTTCCAGCGAATGTTTGACCTTGACGTGTATAATTATTAGAAAAATGAGATGACAAGGTATTATGCAAGGTAGAACATTCGTCGTAAGAACTATAGTATCAGTCCATCTCGACCTACAGATATTTATTAAAGTTGGTTATGCTCTGCAATACCTTTTAATCATGAACTTACTTTGCACGTTTCTGTTGGAACTCTTCTTCTACTCGCCTCATTGCCTCCAACTCTCTCAACCGTTGTCTCTCTTTTTTTTCTGCTTCTCTAGACAGCTTATCTGCCAGTCTCCTTCTTTCTATTTGTCTAACAGTACTTTGGAAAGTGAATTTTCTATGTTTTTTGGAAGGTTCCCCTTTGGACCAAATAACGGCTGATACATTCTTTGCATCCCGTAGTGATTCAGGCATTTTTAGCTCTTCACAAGATTTCGAAAAGACTGATAAATTATATTTTTCAGATGCGATTGATGGTGAATGTGCACTATTTTCTGGTAAATACATTAATCTTGGGGTTGGGGAAATATGCGAAAATGACATATCCGTGAAATCAGGAGAATTATCGTTAATTGAATTTGGGGCTGAACGACTAAAGAACCAGTTAGCATCATCCTGATCTCCAGTAGATGTTCTATGTTCTGGTTCCTTTCGAGTGGATAAGGTATTAAGAACCCCGGATACTGATCGTTTAAGCCGTCTCAAGCTATTAACGTTAGTTTTATGAGTCCCAAGGGTAGTAAATGAGGCAGGTTGCAAGTCCCTTGGTAATGATAAACTGAATACATGCGGGCGCTGCCTGGGTAATGATTTGGGAAGTTCTCTTCTGACGTCTTCCAAACTAGAATCATCTCCTAAATCTTGTTGGGGGGTCCAGGATGATAAAAGTAGTGGTCGCGCATCTCCAGAAATGCCGGAGTCCTGCGACCGCGAATCTAGTAATCTCCAGGCCGCTGTTGGCGAAAAATGGGGAATCTGAGGAGGTTTTCTTGGTAAAACTGGACGCAATTGAAGTGCAATTGTAGAATGCTCATCGTCTTCATCAATGTGACAGGTACTAGATACATCAGAATCTTCTTTTTCCATTCCAAAATAGAAAGCTCTAGGCTTTTGATTTCCTGTAACTCTCAGAACGGGGGATAATTCAGGAGTAGAAGATTCTTTTCCAGATGGTTCACCACGAATAAATCTTTTATCAATATCCTGTCCCTTGTCTTCCATTACAGATGAACCAGTAACTTCATTAAAAACCTCAAAGTTTTCTTTGTTTCTTTCAGTTCCCAGCCTACCATCTTTGAGCCGCTCAGTAGCTCCTTTAAGTTCCTTTTTAAAATCAACTGAACTCAATAAATTAAATTCTGGTAAAGACAACCTGTTTGGTCTTACATAAATGCTTGAATTTTGATTGGCAAGTATTTTTTCTTCGACAATATCCGGAGTATTTTCATTAGCTTCAGCGGGGTTAATATGACTAGAAAATCCCTTTTTAGTTTCTTCTCTTGTTTTAAACAATCGTGTTCGTCTCGGGATTGGGTATCCATCGGTAATAGATTCTTCCCAATTGTCCAAGGGTTTGACCTAAAATAAATTCAAATGTTGAGCTTTAAATGTTTATTTGCAGTCCTTCAAGAGATAGATATTAGGAACTATAATGGGTGAGTTCGGCTTGCTCACTCCGTGCACTCGGAGTGACTCCATTCGCACTCCAGCCGTTCGGGTTAAGGTTCGGGTATTGCTTTTTACGGTATCAGGGGTGACTCCATTAGCTCTGTTCACTCCACTCCAAATTGATGGAAACAGAATCACATTGATCAAGAACAAAAAATAGGACAACTAAAAATTCAGATAGAAGTAATGTCAATGAATGATAGTGAAAAGTTATGAATGACTAAAAACATTAGGAAATGACATGCAAGCAACAAAACAAAACAGAATAAAATGGAAACCAGAATAGAAACTCCAACAAAAGTTCATCGGGTGTGTATTGAGCAAACAATCCGTAAATAAAAATAAAGTATCTAGGAAAACAAAGATAGGAAATATATAACGTTATTTACAGAACAATATTAACGTTCGGATAGTGGGATCATTCTGAAAATGGCAACTATTGAAATGGGGGAAATACCTACTGAATGAAAAAGAAAAACGCGGAGGAAAGCAGATATGATCACAAATTGGAAAAAGAAACGTAGCTGCCACACACTGAATGGTATTTTGACATTTTTATATGTGTATTGGTAAATAAACAATGGCCCTCGGTACTCTATTTTAAAGCTTAATACAATTTTGACATAAATCAAGTACCTACATACATAGATCCATAGGTATGTATACAAACCATCAATTAAGTATATAGTCGCAAATAAACAGTAGGTATTCTTGGTAAAAAAATTTAAAATACAAAATTTCTGCAATTGGGATATTTTTAGAAAGTAAGTTGTTCAAATAATACTTGAGGTTCATTATCTGATAAAAGAATAAAAGCAAAAAGAAATAAGAGGAATTTTTCTTGATGTAATAATAAGCGGTATATTCACTAACACTAATTGCCAAAGTCAATTTATATTGTTCATTAGCAAGGAGGGACCTTACGGTACATCACATCACAACTTTCATTCAATTAACATTATCACCTATATCATAAGCGTAAGTTTACATACCTACCATTTTTTTGTTATTCGGAGGAGGTGGAGCTTTATATTTCTTCTTGGATCGCTTTTCTCTCATTTCGTTGCCCATAGAGGATGGAAATCGTAAGTCTGGCTCCGATTTAAACGACTTGACTTTGGAATTAACAAGGCTTTGACTAGATGCATATTGTTTGTTTTGGGATGTAGTCGATATAAGATCATCCTTATGGAACGAATATCTTTGAGTTGGCAAAAAAGGCTTGGAGTTTGTCTGAAATATATTGTAGAGACAAATGAAATTTGAAATTGAAGAAGTAGGTAATCCATCTCAGACAAGACAATAAGACTGAGTTTTTCTTTTGAAATTAAATGAAATTTAGATTATAAATAAACTAACGTTTCTGAAAAAAGCTTGATGTCTACCACTCAGGGTTCCTCCAGATTGCAAGATTTCTCCATTGTTCGTGTGTTTTAGGCGTTGCCTCGATTCAGGATCAGGCAAAACCTTTATCTGTGGACTAACTTTCGAGTATGGCCGAATAGGTTTTTGTTCTGTATGTAAGCCTTCAAAACGGCTACCGCTGATTTGACCTGTTTGACTGTTTATGTTTCCCATCACTGAGGATAAATCTCCTTGAAGTCATATTCTGAAAATAATAACAATGTATCATAAAACATTTTTTTCTAATGGCCGGTTTATTCATCTCCTGATAATCTGTCAGATAATGCAATTTGACGGATAAAAAGACAATCTGTATTCTCATTGGTTGGCCAGCTACCCGGCGACCAATAAGATTATAGATCGGTAAATTTATCTTGCAGATAGTTACCAGCAAGTTTATCTGAAGATGAATAAACCGGGCCTAAGGCATAATTCGGAAGAGGTAGGTAAGTACTGATTTTGATTAACCATTCAGGCTTACAGCAAAAAACATATTTGCCCAAGTAAAAGTAAAGAGAAGGGGTACACGTTCGACAAGACCAAAAATGCTTCCAAGAGAACCTTGCCTTCGATTTTTGTTTTATAGGTAGTTTAAAATACCTACATTATAGTTATTTCAATTTCATTGGCAATGGCCAACTCATGGGGAGGCTACACTTTTTTCTAGAAAGGAAAGGACAAGAATGAGTCCCGAATCCAGGAGACAGGCTTTGCAATTAGTGATGCCGCGAGACGAGACGAGAATAAGCTCTCTCTCATCTTGTCTCAAAGGTACGAGACGAGAGAGCTCTACTCTCGTCTAGTCTTGTCTCGTCGTTTTGTCTCGTCTCTCGTGAGTTTTCACCCATAGGCTAATTTCGTTACCAAGATTAAGGAAATGCAAAAAATGTATTCTCGCTCCTAAACTAAAAAGTATAAAAATGTAATCCCACGGTTCTGGAAAATTTTCCAGGGTTCGGGAGTCCGCTAGAATGATTAAGCCTATTTCAATTACATGGAAATAGTTTCAATAAAACGGTTTTGTTATATAGATAAAAAAAAAACTTCAAAAATTCAAATAACGCTCTGTCAGGGACGTAGCGAAGGCCACTGGTTTGGGGGGGGGGCGACATTCCTAATTTTCCCAACTTTATTGAAACATCAAAAAAAAAATATACAGGGTGTATAGATAAGCCCATTTCGAAGATATTTTATCATACACTTGTGCCCTTAAGGCCCCCGTTTTTTTTTATATCATTGCTTTTATATTCTCAAGAATTTTCAAAAATGGATCTTCTAACTTCTGTTTTTTTTTTTTTTTTTTTTTGTTTATAAAGATGTTTGTTTCGTGTATTTTTGGTCTGTAGGGTATCCTTGATCTAATAAAGTAATAAAGCAACTAATTATTTCGAAAATCGCGGAAGGTTCTGTGTGCAAAATGTTCAAAAGTCATTGTCACTGGCTCGCTTTCTTCGTCTCTCTACAGTCTACAGTCTACGTTATACAGGGTGGGGCACGAAAAACTTCCCACCCAGGTTTTCTCATCAAAAATCGCTCCGACACGTCGCTTTTTATTTTTTGGGGACACATTTCAAATAGAAAGTAGGGTCGAGTAATACGTCATTTGATAGCTATTTTTATCAAGATAATATTCTCAGTTTCAAGTTTACCCTGTCGAAATGGAGGCTTGTCAAAGTTGTGTGGCTTTTACCTCATAATAACAAAACAACATGAATCATTTTAAACTGAACTGTTAAATGACAATATTTAAATTAAATACCAATATTATTCAATTACTATGGATAGGTAGGTACCCTTAAAATATGTTGTTTTGTTATTATTTGATAAAAACTAAACAGTTCAGATACTCGAAAAAAAGCATTTCTCCTAACTTCGGAAAGCCGCCATTCCGACAGGGTAAATATAGGCAACTCGAAAATTTGGGGATATAATCCTAATAAAAATAGCTATCAAATCAAATTTTTGAAAGTACCTGTCACCCCTGCTTAGAGATTGACAGGTAGAGGGTGAAAATACCAATGGAATGTTTCCCCCAAAAAACAAAAATTGACGTATCCGAGCCATTTTTGATTAATCACCTAACATCTTAAAAAACCGGGGTGGGAAGTTTTTCATGCCCCACCCTGTATATCTTCCTCCTCACTCGTCTCTCGTGTAACGAAATTTGCCAAAACATGACGTAATGTGATGCGTCTTCCAAATCACTCTCCATATTTTCGTCTAAATATCAGAATTTTCTATAGATTTAGATATAACTACATCGGTCGTCGATCTTGACTCTTGAATAGTGAATAGTGCTAGTGGCGCTAGGCCACTACTGCCACGAGTGCCACGTGCCACTGCCACAGGCTAGTCGCGCTAGTGCACTGCAAAGTGCAACGCAAGAGATCGCTGCGACCATTGGGATTTCGTCATTCTGTTGTCCGGAGATTTTGCAATTCATTACGCCACGTGACACGATCCTAATGTTAATTTTAATTAGTCCTCGCAAATAAGGTGCGCAAATTTTTGTCTACCAATTTCTCCCAACTTTAAATTTTTTATCCAAGTTTTCCCAACTTTCGATATATTTGAGGAACTTTAGGGCTCGTCCCTGCGCTCTGTATCTGTATCTCAGAAATAGTAGGAATTTCCGAACACATATTTATTGTTTTTTTTTTTTTAAATACATATAAGCAAAGTCTTAAGGAATCGCACCTTGATGTTAGGGGCCCAATTTCGGAAACACCCTGTATATTTAAATGCATAATTTATTTTTAATCTCTTGAGCCAGATTCTTTATGAAAAATAAATGCATCACACATCACAATAAGTGTGAATAAAAATAGTTTTGCAAATCCTATAGTGACAAAAAATTAACTAAGAATTAACTTCAAAAATCTACTATCGAAATTATTAAAGGTGTTCAAAAAAATGCGGCCAAAAATTTTCATGAATTTATCATATAGCCAGGAGCCAGTAAGAACATTTAAACTCGCCTAGTAGCCCAGGATTTTTAGGTGAAAATTAGCCAGAAACACAAAATGCTTTATAACCAGCTGAAATTTGGTACACTTATTCTAGGTGTAATATTGAGTCGTCGTTTAAAACTCCCCAACCCTCCTCCGCTTGCATCATGAGATACTGAATTATACAGGGTGTTTATTTTGAAACTTACTGCTATTCAACGTTGTCCGCGTAAATAGGTAGATTTGTGAAATTCTTCGAAGCATGACAACTAATTTGTTTGTTGAGTGTGAATGTTTTTTCACGAATAATTATTTACCCCTGAAGCCCCCTTACCTTAAAACCGCCACACCAATGCTTTTAAACGAGGTGTGACCCTAAAAAACGACTTAAGTTACTTAAATCAAGAAAGAAAATCTACGATCTCTCGTAAAAACCGCACTCCTATATTCAAAATAGTCTCCAAGAAAATTCCTTGTAAAGATAATTTATATGCAGGAACTTGTGACGTCACAACCGCCGAAATCGTAGTCTTCTGTTCGTTCAGTCGTCAGTGAACCGTACCCTATACTTTGAGTGGTTGCAATTAATTGTCTTTTGTTTTGGAAAATTTCTACACGCGTTAATACTGTGCCTGATAATCCAGTGTGCCGTCACAAACACCTAGTTGTAACTTTAAACCGCCCTAACTCGAAAACGGACCATCGTAGCAAGATGCGGTTTAAATATTTATTCTTAGATTTTCTTGCACTAAAACTTTAATTTTTTGGTCACACCCCCTTTAAGATGCAGCGCACGGATGTAGACATAATTTCAAATAGATTTTTTATTCTGTACATTTTGATGTCCCTTCTTTACCGTTTTTGCGTGTTTCACTTTTAGATCAGCAGTTCTAGAGGGTAGGGATTTGGACTTCGAACCTCTAGACCCTAGGGCTACCAACTCAAATGTGAAAGATACGGAAAAAAAATGTAGAGAATAAAAAATCTGCATTATTATTAAATAAACGTTTTATTGAATAAAGCGAAATCAATTAATTGTATGAATGATATCGTGGATGTATTGTAAAGCATTAGGTACATTACATTCACTCGTCCGCATGCCCGAAACACGTCTTTCACGACTCTACAGAAAAAGGGAAAACGAATTCAAGGAGGTCAACAAAAACGCTACAAAGATGTTCATAAGGAGAATATGGCAAAGTGCCGCATCGATACCAGCAATTAAGAAGAACAGCGACGCAGAGACGAGACCGAAAAGAGATACCGTGGGAAGGAGCGACAGAATAGAGGCTGGGTGTGCCATGACTATGGAAGAGTGTGTGGCTACAGAATTGGTTTATATCTCCATCAGAAAACGCAGAATCGACAACAATAAGAATAGAATAGAAGATATACTCGTTATCGAGTGATCGCCTATATGATGATGATGAAAATGTATGTTTTAGTGTATTCGGTCAATCTCTTCTCTTATCTCTTCTTTGTATGCTGCTACCAACTTTGTCTCTGACAAGAAAAGATGATTCTGGCCTTCATGAAATATTGATCACCACCTCTAGATAGTGGTCCACATCGGGTTCTGACTTTTTGTATTTTCAATATCGCTTCTGACATCATGAAAATATTCTTGGGATTTCACTTTTATAAAACACTCTCATTTACCATTTAATCAACACATAGATTATGTCTCAAATTCAGGAAACACTTCTTTGCAATCAATAAAATGGAAACTATACCTTGAAAAAATTCTTACGTATTCATCAATTTATATAAATATTAAGGTAGACCACTGCTGTTGGTTAGGAATAATATACCTAATCTATTTTGATAGAGGAGCAGATGTTTTTCGAGAGATAGGCTCTCGAGGGGATTGGAAAAAAAAAACACAAATGCTGTTGAAAGAATATTTTATCATGTGGCTCGAATGAATAATGGAAGGTAGACAAGATTGGTCCCAAACTCAAGACCATGACAGGAATCACAAAAAGCAATATGGCCAGAGGCTCTGAGAAGAAAGGACTAGACACATGAGGCGTGAAATAGGAAAAACTGGATAAACTACCATATGACCAGCCGTGGAAAACTGTAGCTGATACTAGACAATCATCAGTCTGGGATCACTCAATTCAGCTCTATATCTACTGAATTTGTTCCAACTTCTTTATCACAAACTCACTTGTTTGTGAAATGTATCTAAAATCATTTCTGTGATTCTCTGATAGAGCTTTATAAAACATGGGAGAATAAATGTTAGTTCAAG